TAATGAATGCTCTTTGTTGACAATTGCAGGAATTTGTCAGTGGTATGTATTTCATATTCTGTAGAATATAGGGATATATCGAAACGAGGTATCTGCCTCGTGTGATAGCAATGTATGTGTATTGAACTTACACGAACAAACGTAGCAATATTATTGTAACTCGCACTTGACAGACATCACATTCTGGGGTACAAACCACTGCTTTGTCTCAACAATTCGTTAAATTGATTAAGATTATTAAATAATCCTGACTTACTTTCTTCATGCTCATAATAGAATACCTTATCATGATTACATCATCGATGTTTGCGCTCTTTTCGGATTATGGAAGAATATAAATAACGCGAAACGTAAATATGAGAAACTTTTGCTCTAAAATACGGGCAAGTGTAGAGAAAAGTGATAGTATAGCGATTAGTAAGAAGAAATGTATCAACAGTATACATAAGAGCGATTTATTGCTTATACAATTATCGTACAAGAAAGAACATTTTCTGCTTTATAAACAGCTATCTTAATATGGTCACATCCATTTGCTTTCACTGTATACGTATTCTGATGTGTAAATAGCATTATAACGACTATGCAGTAGAGAGACTGAATAAGGTTCAACGACCGTTTACTAAGGCAGCCGTCCAAACGAAATACTGAACGATAATATCATTAGTCAATATGCAAAAGCAAGCTGAGACGACTGTATTGAGTTACAATGTACACAGGTGCGTCGAAAAGGGATAAAATCATGTAATAGAAAGAAAGGGGAAACGCAAAACGGCATGAATATAGTAGATACACAGCAGCGAAGATATTCATTCTTATCAGCCCCCCCCCCCCTCCCCCACCCTCGCTTGAATTATGAGGCTGCTTCACCTTACCAAAGGATAACCCCGTGTATTAATATCCTACATGCATATACGTCACCACATAATAATGCAGACATAACCATTTGCAATTCATGAAACGAAAGTGAATTTAATTGGAAGAAGAAAAAGATCATAAAACGAAAGATAACAAGCAATATTGGTCAAGACATATAGTACATGATGTCGAAAGGCGTTAAAATGGAGGATTCATACATTGTGTTCATATCACAAAATATGGTGACACGACATTTGCTCCTGCGACAATTGCTCCGGGCTTTATTTCGTCTAAGATGTAGGGTTAGGGTTAGGGTTTCAATAGGGTTTTATGTTAGGTTTAGGGTTAGGTTTAGGGTAGGGTATAGTGTTGAATCCAGGGTTGAAGTTAGCCATTCGATTAGTGTATGAAATTTACAGCGGAGCAATTGTCGCCGGAGCAAATGTCATGGAATCCAAAATATAGCTTACTCATTCACAACACCTGTATAGAATTACAAATTGCGAAACAATTATATCAATTAAGGAAAATAAAGGGACCCGGAGTCAAAGATAAGTATTGTTGCTCTTCAAAATGTACTAGGTGTTAAGAATTATAAGAAGAAAGTTCAAGGGCTAGTGCATTTATCACTAAAATGTTCTGCCAACTAAAATAGAGAAAGGTCTGTCAAGCATGGTCGTATTTTAAGCTTTACACAGTTAAAATTTTAGTGAACATGTTGTTTAAAAGTTTAAACAACTTTGGATTAACGGGTGACCTGATCTAAGAGTTGTTTAAAATGTTAAGCAACTCGAGTTGTTTAAAGTTTAAACACTTAGTTGATCAACATTTTGAACAACTTGTTTAAAATCACAATTTAAACAACCGGTGTTGTTTAAAGACGGTTGTTTAAAACGGAGCTGTTGTTCAGTGGGGGTTGTTTACACCAACTGGGTTGTTTAAAGAAAGTTGTTTAAAAAGGAGCTGTTGTTAAATATTAATAATATTATTGGATTCTTATATAGCGCACGTACCGACCTTGCAAGGTCCTCAAGGCGCTCCAACATTACCCGGCTATGCTAGGCTGCCAAAGGACATTAGTGCCGCGGCGGGACTCGAACCGTGGACCTTGTGATCGACAGTCCGGCGACGTTTCCACTCATCCACGACACCTCTACAGCTTGGTCGGCCATGATGTGAAACAAAGCTTTTAGCCAACGCGCACTTTACTGCCACGTGACACATTGACGTCATATGTAAACAACACTGTCTAAAAGCTCTCGTGTAGTAAATATAGCAGTCATTAAATTTTAAACAGCGAATGTTTAACAAAATTTCTTTCGTTTCGAGCAACGTTGTTTACAATTTGTTCAACTGTTGTTTAAGATAGTGTACAACTGTAAGTGAACATCACTTTTTTAAGCAGCGTTTTTACTGTGTACTTCCTTCCTTTCCTTCTTTAGTCTAGAATGATAATATTTGTTTACAATCGGGATGATCTTAGTGTGTATTTTGAATACTCTTATGTCGTGTGCAGACTAGGCATTCTTCCAAGGTCATAGATACTTGTATATGCAGAAGAGGCCTGGTGGTGTGGAACGTGTGTAGAATTGATATAATCCCTCGAGCTATTCACATTGGATCTCCTTCCCAAACAACCCGCACCTGGCTGAATATTAGGTTTCTATTCACTTACATCATTCCCTCTTTATCCTTACTCTACCCATCCTCAATGTCTGTCTATCCCTTGCATGTGGATTCCCTGACGTGTGTATGTCCCATGTGATGATATACATCCTCATAATATTCATGGTCATCTGGTCAGACCGTGTCTTCTCGGGTTTCATTCATACTTCCTATACTAAGAGTACGTTCAATCCCTGGGCTGATTACATCCTTTATTTCACTCCGTCAGTGTCTTGTTTGTTTGACCAATCTTTATATGTGTCACAATCATTGAATGTCCCCGGATGTCCCCATTGCACGGTCTGACCACTGTCTATCTTTCCAAGTACTTCTCTGTCGACGATATGTAATTACATTGGCTTTCTGATCTAGAATAACACCGCTATAGGTCACAAAACCACGAGGTATAGTTTCAAAGTTCATGTTGCCACTGCAAGTCCAAGTTACACAGTCAATAGAATTCAATTTGGCAAAAGCTTTCTGAACTAATTGACCATTGACAGCAACCGTTCCATGTTGACAGACCTTTAATTCTATTTGATTTCAAGGCATTCTTCCTGATATTGTTACTTTGTTAACAAGCATGGCATAGCATACCAATAGATGTGCATACAATGAGCTCTTGTTGACAGTGCTTCTTAATGAATAACCTTCTTGGTTCATCTTAGTTTTTTTTTCAGAGGTACAACTTTCAGTCTTGATTTTCAGACTACTGGACCGCCATCCTTTCTCATCCCTCTACCTTCCCCCACTCGATTCTATCTAAACCATCCTCCTATCACAAGCCTCCTATTGGACAACATAGTCGTGACGTTACAATCATAAACCACTCGCCCAAGTGAACAAACGTACACACACACAAACATGAACACTACGACATGGCATGCATTGCGCCATCAGTTTACATCTCTGCATTCTGGCGTTGCACCTTCATCGTCTGCTCGGCGTGTGTGCGGTTGTGACGCCTCTATCCTGCACTCAACTTTGGCAAGTTACTCTCCCGAAATTGCGTAAACATTGGAATGATTATGTATACAACCCTGTGCACAGTTCAAGGCGACACATCTGTGGATTGTTTCTGAATAATTGATTGTTTACATTTTACCCAGAGTATGTTTGTGGTGATTTATTGTGAAGATGATCATTTCTGAGGATATTTTGTTCTTCACTTAACTTGAGAAGCGATTTAATACCTATTTGCTATTCTTCAATGTTTTCATATCTACTTGAGATGGTGTTTTGATGTTTTCAACGTGTAATGTGAGGTCTAAGTAATCACCAATTTTTGACCAGATGAAAGAATTTGACTTCTAAAACAACTTTGTTTAATATTTTCTGATGACTTTGTTTAATTCTACCGAGTGCTTTCAAAGAGCAATAAAAAAAACTTCTTTTTAAAAACCCCGTTGAACACAACGTCTCTAAACTTACCTAGCCATCCTAAATTTGATGTCAAGTGAACAAATGCGGTGAACGTGTTTCTTCAACATATGGCTAAACGTGGCTGTATTCTTTTCTCGAATTTTCAATCTTTTTTATGAGTGTATGGCAATTGTGACATAGTAGGCCCGGCATGTGTATTATCGATCAACAATTATGAGTGTGTTTTCTATAGAGCACAGCTGTATTGACCCAGCGCATAATAATTTGTCATTAATCAAAACTGCGGCGATTTCGACAAAGAAACATTTTGAAAAAAGAGCGGCGGAGCATAGGGACCTTCGAAGTATGTTTAGAGAACTGAGTTAGTGAGAACAATAAAGAAACGATTGAAAAAGGTGTTTTATAATAACGAAATTAATAAACAAATCGTGTCTTGGGGTTTAGAAATGTCCATTTATTTCCCAGGAGGATAGAGAATTTTGCATAAAAATAACGCATCAAAAGTTAAAAAATAAAAGAAGAAAAAGAAGAAAAGGGTGCACATTCCGAAAAATTACACAATAAAGAGGCAATCGTCGAGGAATGCCAATTTGGGATTCAGGAGGGGCGTTCGGGGGGGGGTGGTGTTTTGTGCCTCCCCCTTAATCCGCCACTATCTAATGTTAGTCTGTACACTCTTTATCAAATGTCTCTGTAGGCCTACAGTATAAGAGTTAGTAGTGGTTGGCGTTGTCCTATAATTCATTATGTGAATGTGTCTCACCTACCTCTCTCGGTCAATATCTATGTTCAATATTTTCTCTACCGTTGATATGAGTTCACGGAACACCCTGACAGATTTTTGCCCCAAGACATCAATTGAAATTGTATCTTGATGCACCACGATGTGTATATCTATACATTCATGCCACCCTTACCCTCATGATCCTCAAGTATTCGCTGCAGATAAGAGCGAAAAGGATATGTTCATGTATACTTCAAATAAATGTTCAGATGAGAGTTAACTTGTTGTCCTGTTTTGTCGCACATTCTTTTCAATTAAATCGTTTAATAACTAATGTTACTCTCTCCTTTTTACTTCTGTTTAACAGACATGTGAGTCGGTCGGATCCCTAAGTTGAAAGGTCAAAGTTCGCTTATTAGCCTGGTCATGTTGTCGGAATAATTCAAATCAAAGGTAAGAACAATGTATTGTTATCATTTGGAACACTGCAGATTACTTATGCAGTGGAGAACAATGCATCCTAAACATGGCGTGTGAGACTTCGTATGAAACCTAATTCATTTAAATAATGTATGCATCAATACGAAGCTTCATGCTTTCAACCATTCATTAGTATAGCTGAAAACATAGAGAGAAATATGTATGGATGTATCCGTGTAGTGGACTGGTTAGCGGCATTCCTATTTCAATTGCCCTTTAGGACATCTTTGTAAATGAGGGATGTGTCATGTCTGTTATCCCGGAGGCTTTCTCGCTCTACTTCTATCACGAAAACACATCCACCATCACGCCTTCATGCAGGTGTATCCTATTAATGTGATGACGTCACAACATCACATTCTTTAATGTCAGTTTATAATCATCTCGTTATCTTGTAAAGCTTCCCACCTTCTACAAAAACAGGCGAGCTGATGATGACCATGATGGGCACAAAGTAAGTGAAAGATGGAGGGAGAGAGAGAGAGAGAGAGAGAGGGAGAGAGAGAGGGAGAGAGAGAGAGAGAGAGAGTGTGTGTGTGTGTGTGTGTGTGTGTGAGAGTGAAATAGAGACAGAAAGACAGCGAAACAACAGATCGACAGAGGAGAGATAGACGGGGTAATTCCGCTAGTTATAAGAACCGCTAGTCGAAGTTTCTATACGTGGAGGACCGCTATTCATAAAACGAAAAGGTGGCCACTATTCATAAAGGCATAAGGACCGTTATACGTAAGAATCGCTATTCATAATACGAAATGAGGGTCGCTATTCATAATATCAGCCTGCACTAACATCACACAAGAATACGGATTCATTTTCTCGTATTATGAATAGCGACCCTCTCCTCGTATTGAATAACGACACCCGATTTTGTATTAATAGCGACCCTCTTCTTCGATTATGAATAGCAGTCCATATGAATAATGACCCTTATGAATAATCATCCTTTTCTCAAATTATGAATAGCGGTCCTTAGGAATAGTAGCCCTTAAGAATAGCGGTTCTTATGAATAGTGGTCCTTATGAATAGCGGTCCTTAGAAATAGTAGCCCTTTACCCATAGTGCTGGGAAAAGTCAGTAATCAGTAATCGTGTACGGTTTATTTTATCGAAATAATAAGGGAGTGTATCCAGGCTCATTTATTTGAAATACAGAGTCTGCTGATCTGAGTACTCCATATAGACAGGTTAGAATGATCACATTTACCTCTCCACTTCATATCTTTTTTCTTAAATAACTTTTCCATAAAATAACATTCTTTCTTTACAAGACAATTAAACTAGTCATTGTTTGTCCTTCTTTTCTTTAGAGTAGTCAGAGTAGTCAGAAATCCTTAAGGGTTGTTCTGCAAAATTTGGCTGACAACATTGAATTAAGTTTTCATAAAACTAAAACATGGCATTTTACATAAATCAATCGTACCACATCTCTCTGGGGCAATGGAGGGATGGAAAATATAATTTGGGCAAATGTTTGTGATCGTGTTTTTCATGTTTATAGTATTATTCTTATTTTTGTTTCTTGACAGTTAACTCTCGTAGAAGGATATACATGTACTGTAATAGGTTTTGTGGGAACGTGTACTTGTACATGACTGTAATGGTCAGAATAATAATTTGTATACAACATTTAGAACCGTAGTTTTATGCGATATAACCTGATAGACTGTATAGTCAATTTTGCCAAAATGTGAAGAAAACAAATTATTCAAAAGAATGAAGCTAATTAGAAAAAAAAATCTTGATAGGCTCATAAAGGGGTTACAATATTTGTGTCTGTACGACACGTACTGATGGTATTTGACAACATTGAAACAAAGTGGTCAAAGTTTTGTAAACCTCTCACATTCTCTGTATAATACAAAACAAATACTCATCTATAAAAGACATTCATCAGGATTCTTTTCTTCACCAATTACTGAATTCATGTTCATATCGAAACGTTTCTTCACGCTTTAAATTGTTTGCACACAAGCTATTTTCTGTACCTATATTATTCCCTCCACCCATAATTTGTTTTGGAATACCCCTTACCCTCCCAATTTTCCTCTCAATTAACATTTCGCTTTGGAGCGTACAGTCAATGTCGTATCTTGGCTATTTTTCCAGCCTTTTGCCTGCACAGAATCAAAATCGATGAAATACACAGACCTTGTACCTTATCAATACCGAATTGTTATACATGCTTTACCATTCCCACCTCTCTTTAATTTAAATAGACCTTGAAAAGGGCATTCTTTGTCCACGCGGCATAGCCAACTCCCGCTACTTCGATTTTCATTTTTTAAGTAAATGAGGGGAAAGAATTGTTCAGCCTTGCTCTTTATAAATTTTCTTTAACAATAACAGGGAAAAAAGACTTTCGGAGAGGGAAGGCGGGAGTTGACGTAATTCAGTTCTTGTAAAGATGACATTGTCCTCTCTCAACAGTTGCTTAGCAATAAGATCACGATGAAAACTACCACCATTATTATACACAATATTATTGGCCCCCAAAGTTTGATGGTCTTGCGAAAAATAAAAAAAAACAGATACAATTTTAGTAGTTCCGCGGCCACGGGGCTAATGCCCCTCTCATATGCTTATTATTCAACTCTATACACAAATAGGATGAGAGATAATATTCAGAGGCAAAATGTGAGCCCAGCCATTGAGAGGGGCAATTGTATCATGGGGGGAGGGGGCCTACCAGGCCCTATAATCACCCTTGCCTCCCTCTCTCTTTTTATTTACTCACCCCCCCCCCCCCCTCTTCCCCCAGCCCTTGTATCTACGGCACTTCATCTTACTTTAAGTTAAATAAACGCTGTAAATTGCATTTTGGGAGTAGAAACCTGTAAACTGCTAATATGACGTTGTATCTATAATCTTTAAAGTGGTTCTTAAAATAGATGTTTTGACCAGATTTACAGATCTTCAATTGCTGTGAAGCATTGACGTTTGCAGTCGGCTTGATAAACATGCACAAATAATTTCTCATGCTCACCCAAGCGCACTCAGTCAGATACACTCAAATCAACAGCTCTGATATATTATAATCGTAGTTACATTATTATAATGTAATGCGGTAATAAATAATGATGCCTCTCAACAAACCTTTTGAGTTGCATTCAGCAGACCAGAAAATAACAATTTAAGATTAAGATGCCTATGATTTACTTTTATTAGCTAGTACTCAATTATTTTTGAAGCTCACTACTTCATGATTGCCTTAATTTCTTTATGATCATGAATATTTCCATTGACAAAGTAGTATAATGCACACCAACCTTATTAAGTTGGAGTTTATTGAGTTGTTGTAGTAGACGTAGTTGTTCGAATTTATCTCTAAATCTACCTTTTACAATTTACATGATAAAAATAAACAGTAAACATTTTCAGAATTAAATTATTACCTCTTTTTCATGTCCTTTGATTGGTTCTTCTAATACATTCCCTCTTTGTGTCTAAATGGTTTACTTTATATATATTTACACCTCTCCATCTTGTACTGTTCTGAACCTGCAGTAAGTAACTTATGTCTCTCATTGGTTGTTGTTTTTTGTTGTAAATATTATGCTGTTGTTCAGTCTGAATAATAAGTACATCATTATTTTGGTTGGGTATATCAGAGAAAACTTATTGTAAATTCTCTTCGTGATAATTTAGATTATTTCATTTTTTGCCTGTATAAACCCCCTCCTCTATTGTAATCATGATTTTTCTCATCTTCATCTATCATAATACATATCACTGAATGAAAGCTTGAGGCATAATGAAAGCTGATTTATCATTGACATATTTCAAGGTGTTTAGAATACTTCATACAGATTAGCGGGAATATTCAGAACGAAGCATTTGCTCTTATCCTGCTGTCATATATGACGCTTACACCATAGTCAAAAAGCCCGAGAGAGATCGACCGCAAATATCATGAACCCGTCTCGTGTCAGCAAATTCATCGAACTGAAGCCAGTATTCTTTTTTTTATAAAAAATATGAAAAGCAGTCAGAAATCCGTCAAAATTGCCTGAGGCTTATCTCACTTATAACATCTGAATTGAATTAAGAACATTTCGAACCGAAACCTAATCACTCTAGAACGCCCACTTACTGGCTTGTTGTTTCAGTTATTTGACAATCTTAACAGTTTGGAATAATGAAATAAAAAATGCTTATAAAAATAAACAGGTTATAGGCTGGTAAATACTCGTGTTTTTAAACAACGCGTGGTAAATACCTTTTGGGGATAAATGAAAATAGCAAAAATGAGTATGATTTCAGCCATATAATTTACTCTCCGCGTTGAAATATAATAAATTATTTCTAAGTCAGCAATTTCTGAAGAGCTTAACATCTAAATATTGCAGTTTGATAAACCCAGCGGCATTTAAGACTCTTTGGTGCACTTCTATAGTATATTGCCGTATTAGAGAATAAGATAACAATCCTTAATTCACACGTTATACCTTTTAGGAAAGACGAGTGGTTTTTATATCTTTGCATGTGTAATATGCGGGTCGGTTTTATGCAAAACATTTGGACTTAGCGACGAATAAGGTCTCCCATCTACAATCTTGAAAAATCATGAATACAAACACAACATATTAATATGAGAAGAATAAATCATCGTGTCTTTCCTAGTGTTTTAATGTATATACAATGTACATTGTCCATGTATCATAATCTAATATTATGTATATGGTAAGCAGTAATTCAAAGCCTATATAAAGCACTTTTAGACAAGAACAGATGGAATTGCAAAATGACGTCACTCGTCATCAGCAAACTAAAAGGATGATGATTTTTTTTTAAATAAATGTATTAAGGCCAAACATATTTTTTAAAATTTATATTGTACTGAGTGAAATGAGTATGTTGGAAAATGCAGAAATAGAAAACAATCCATCACTAAATATTGACACCTCTGAACCATTCTTGAAGAATTGTCTACTACTTTGATATCCATGGTTTATCATGCATAATCCTTCATGAGGAGAATCAATATTAATTATGTAACATAGCTATGTTTTTTTTTAGTTGAATCCCCTGAGGCAGTCGATATGAACTCATGCGAAGTAGGACATTCCCCTATGCCTCTCACGTCATCATAATAGACTAACTCGATGAAATAGATTAGAAAGAGAACACCGCTCCGACTCACTCCGCCGGACTAGAACCCAAATCAGCATAATGTCCAGAATCTAAAATAGAAAATTGGACTGACACAATCATATTACTACACTCAACTGAAAAATTGATATTTTCTTCACTCTCTCGCCTTCAACATATTTCTACCATCATTAATTTTCTGCCCTCTTTGTTCTTATCTTCCTCCCTTACGACCAATGTTGAGAACTGTTATAAACATGGTTGGCTTTGAGTTGATGACGAGGAATGCATGGAGGTTGAGACGGAATAGTTAGAAGGGCTTCATAATGGTCCACAGTATAACATCATCATCGAGTATCCCATTAAAATGACAGCAACTCAGACTTTATAAATTCATCACCATATTGAGGTCTTTTCTTGTGGTATCACATGTCAAGAAGGTTTTATATAGAATGCAGACAAAACACTTTAACAGAATACATAATTATTCTTCGACATTTTTCTTAAGGAATCCTTTGCAGCCATTGAATGATTGAGGATGAAAATATGAATATTTCTACTGATTCGTTGAGGCAGCTTTTCTTTCTACCTAATTCATAATCTTAGTTCCGTGTACTTATTTTAAACATTCACAAAATAAATATATCAAGGAACTTGATATCTTGAAATATATAAGTTTTTTTTTTTTTTACATCCCTTTATACGAATGCGAATGGTGATAGAATCATGATTTTTTGCATTTATTTCGTATGTAACGTATAGTCACTTTCTGTTTTGAAAATGAAAGTTGTTAAAGATCTTATTCACGTTTGATATTAGTAAGATCTGAAATACGATTGTTGTTATCTTGCTGTCGATTGAATATAAATATTTAGGTCACCCTTTCTTGATACCATCAGAGCCGAAGAGATATATACAATACTTGTTCACGTGTCACTACTATATCACTCTTTAATGGGGCACATGCCTAGTTAATAAACCATCTCTAAAGATCGGCCTCAAAACGTGTTTGCTCAAGATCATTCCTTGGCTCAATTTTGTAGTTTTTTAATTCATCATGAGCTCATGTTTCTGAATCAATAACGTCATCTGATACTAGTTATAGCTTTTAATCGCCCTTCAAAGACAAGAGTTATAAATACAGGATAAAACTTCCTAGCAATCTGAAACATGTAATCAAGCTATAGCTGTCTGACTTAATTTCCCTTGATGCCCGAATGCGTCATGATTAAAAGGCACATATTTGGGAGAATGTTTTGAGACATCGAATTACAATTCACATTTTGGCGGTAATAATACTTCTACTATCATACCCGATTGTATAAATTTTCGTCCTGTGCGAATCATTTTTACGTTTCATCACTCTCTCTCTCTCTCTCTCTCTCTCTCTAATGCGTTGCCATTCGTCTGAATGTTAGTGTCCTACATAATCATGTCTTATTAGTTAATGATGAAGGTCTGCTCTTAACTCTTCAATAAGGGCACAATGGTATACAAAAGATACAGTTATCATTAATTTATCACTACGTAATAATATATTCCGGAAGACATAACGTTACTTGAAACAAGCAATGTGATACATAAAAGGAAATGAGTAAAGAGCCTTTGTGATGATCCGTCTTTGGTGAAGGTATCATTATTCGGTTTGATTCAATCTCGTAAGGATTGGCATAAGAGATTGCATGACGTGCAAAGGATATCTAATCATGGTCTGACCATGGCACGCATACACCTCACCGCTCTCCCTCGATCCGAAGATACGAATGCAGCATTATCTTAGAAACAAAATAAAACCCATGACATGATCAGACAGATAAAGATCTCATTGGTGTAGTAATCATTCACCATCAACGTATTACTAGGTCTGCATGCAGGAGGTACATGTAAATATTAATTGCCCCTCCATTTGTTACTGATGATAACTTTTGTGTCGTCTGACATGGACCGGAAATCAGTACATTTAATTCCAAGTATTACCGGTTGGAGTTACTCAGGTGCAATAAAGAGAAGTATAACAATATTTGCAGTGCATTGTGCTACTGCCATGAGCAGCAACGGTTGAAGTGAAACTAGTCAAAGAGTTTGTGAAAAACACTTGTTATAGTGTGTATAATTATAGAGCTAAGTGTTTAATGCGTATAGCCTATATTTTGTTCATTTTATTAAGATTTGAAACATGCTTGCAATAAGAGAGGCGATGATAAGTGCTTACTAAAATACAATTGGAACAATATTATGAAACAGCTGAAACTTTGGTAACGATATAGTATTTCACTTTATATATTTCATATTTTATTTTTGCGTTTCTCTTTACATCTTTGTGTTTTCAATTGTATTTTATCTCCATTCTTTTTAATCCAAGTTTCTACTTTCCTTTTTCATTTGATTCGGTTTTGCCAATAACGATCGATATTATACAATAATAATGCAGTGAAGATTAAGCAAAGACTTTTGATAGTTGGTTTCCTGGGAAAATGTTGTTAAATATCTTTCTGCCCTGTTACTATACTGTCTTGATTGTAGGTTAGGATAATGAGGATAATCTAGTCATGTGCGTCATCAGACAGTATACCATTAAATGTTTGTGAATGATGCGTAAATGAGTAATGGTGTATATTAGGCCATGGCAGCCAAGCATGAAGATAATTATCATCCTTAGTCTCGAGTTATGTTTGACAGGGCGAAGAAAATAACTGTAAAAACTATTTTTGTTCCTTTAATTTAGATTTTTCTTTTAAAGAATTTGTTATTATCCCACTGAACAATTGATTGAAAGCATAAGAATGTGTGTATTGCGACAATAAATCATAATTATTATCTATGAAATAGCGTAAAATCGTCGAATTGTATAACTGTTTTTCGATGTAAGTGAAAAAAAATAAAGTGGTGTTTTACGGAATAGAAATAACATGAAAGAAGAAATGTAGATACATAAACCGAAATTACACCTCCCTTATTAAGAAAGCAGATTGATTAGATACTTCATGAACGGCCGACTCTCTATTTAAAGCCTCTTCATGTATGTTATATTCCAGATTGGCCGGAGCTGATCTTCGATGGGCTGTACAAATCTCTGGTAGAGGACTCTGTATAAGTGAACTTTGAATTCCATCGCAGTCACGTGGTTCACCATTAGTCGAACATATTGGAACTATCAGGTGATTACATGAAACAAATTCATGAATATACATTGATTGGATTATTCACGTGTTCCTTATATATATACTGAGTGAACTCTTTAAGTATATGGCCTGCTTTAATAAAGAAGCCTGAAATGCATGTTATTTATCATTAATATATATTTGTGATGTTTTCTATTTTAAAACAAAGAATTGCATTCTTAAAAAGAAGAAAACATATGAACATACCGCATTATCACGTTAATTTTCAAATATAGGGACACACAAAAACTGAGCATGCTTAAGTATGTAAGATCTGTAGGAGATATTCTCTGTTGTGAACTAAATCCTAATTTTTCTTTCTTTTCTGAAAGGAAGGCTTTAGTCTTCGTCAATAGGATTTTCTAAATTTTCGATTGAAATAGTATGTCCACTATTTAAAATAATCGCAAACAAGAATCTCGGTCCATCGCCAAAACACGCCATACTACCACTCAAAATGTATTCTGGAAATCAACAAGTTCAAAATATACAGCCCCCTCTCTCTCTCTCTCTCTCTCTCTCTCTCTCCCTCTCTCTCTCTCTCTCTCCCTCTCTCTCTTGACATCTCTCCTCTCTCTCTCTCTCTCTCTCTCTCTCTCTCTCTCTCTTTCTCACTTTCCTATTCTCTCTGTTCCTTGACATCTCCCATCAAAGGTAAATGCCCGTAAGTGTCTTCGCATGAAGAAAAAATAGAAACTGCTTGGCACTGAATTTCCGTAAAGAAAAAGCTTCGATCGCAAATTATTCCGTGAGAATTGTGAAGTTAGTTGGTAATGGATTCCTCTTCTTTTTCCTGTCCAGAAAACTTGGTTTAGCTGGAGGGTAATTTGATCAAGTCGAAATGAAAACCTATCCAAGGTCTCGCCTCTTTGGAAAAGAACACATCGCATAGGCACTTGGTTGTCCAAGATAAACAGCATGCCTTGAAGGCACAACAAATCGATGCTAGAAATAAGATGTAATTTATGATTGATTGTTGGACAAGCAAACAACATAAGAAGAATATTCAAATTCATTTTCTTTTGCCGTAATCTAAAAAAAAATGAAAGGGTGCATCTTCCCAATCCTCTCTAAATCACAATTGTTTTGTCTCCATGGGGCCCTCAATGGAATGGCCCTCAATGGAAATTACATATTTTTAACAACATCAAGGAGAAATTAAAGCCACTTAAAATCAGTTACGATATTTTCCTAATGTTTTTATCTATTGGGCAATCATAATACACCATTTCTTGGCGATTTTTCCTTTTCACAGCCGAATACATTTTCCTCGGTTAAATAATGATTATGCAGTGCGGATTTTAGTTGTCATGGTAATGGATGCAGAGACATGCAATGAACAGAACATAATACTACCGTTCTTAATCTATTCATCGATCCCTAGAGATGAATAGGTTTTAGAGGTGGCCCCGTTTTAAAATCATCTTCTCATTTTGTAGTGTACGCATGACGAGGTTGCCAAGCAATCTGTTATTGTTGGGGTGTTGTATTTAATGCACCGTTTAAAACGCCATTACAAACATCGACACACAGTGCAAATTAAAGCAATGTTGTGTACGTGTTGCGTTTCGTTTAATTTTGGTTGAATACTTAATTTGCTCTTGTGAGATTAATGCATTTGCTACTTGATAGAACATGAAGATTATATCGTAATTAAACATAATACCAAATGTAAATCAAAACTATTTACACAGTGTGTATATTGAAAAAAGTGTATTAAGTATTGAAAAGTTATAACCTATGTGACCTTGGATCATAATTATATTATGGTAAAGGGAAACTAATAACCTGTGTAATGAAACCACATTCATTATTGTACTTCCACGGATGACTGAGCAGAAGGCTTTTCAAAAAGCATTGTCAAAATATTCTTGTACCATGTTTGGACTGAAGTAATGAATGTGGTTTAAAAGCCATTATTTGTGTGTCATCTCATTTCAAAAACAATTGCTCACTTATCTAGATTGAATATTAGGCATTTGAAAATAAAAGGTGTTAATATCAGCTCAAACTCAAGGAAATGCTAATTACAAGCAATATTTATGATATTCTCTTCGTTATGATGATTACAATCTTGACTTCATTCGCATCCAATGTTTAAGGTTACTTTTCTTAATGAGTTATACAAAATGGATAATGTTTATTTGGGTTGTAATCTTTTATGAAAGTCTAAACAATAAAGCACTAAAGCACGATGCATATTTTTTTTAATTTGAATGATTTAAGACCCTGCAGAGAAGCACATGCATATGGCCTGACCTCGGCAATGCGGCAACGCCGAATGGCTATTATGGTCCAATTCAAAACTTCGCCGTATAAAGCCATTGAACTGTTGCATCAAAGAGTTCTGTTTGTACTCCATGCCTGCCATTTGACCTGACTTGACCATTTATATAGCCTCAAATGGCGCGAGCGGATGACACCTCTTGTTGAATGAATCCATCGGCTGAACATAACGGGTCAAGACTACACTCTGGCATGTAAATGTACACGACACTTTCAGATGTGACTCTTTCCGTTAAATATGGATGTAATAGATATAAAGCGCAAGATTACATTTTTTTTCCTTCGAAAATCAAGTATTTTCTAGACGAACCAAGTAGCCACTTCACGATGAAAAACAAAACAACGTATATCCCTCAATACAAGTTGAAACAGCTTTCAAAGATCTGGATATTTGTGGTCAGAACTTCTTGCAAGTCTTCTGTTTCTCTCTCTCCCCTTCTCTTTCTCTAAATTCATATTATGTTTGAAATCTTATCAGGTTATAATCTTCAAAACAAAACTATTTCTTCTCTTTACAGGATGAAGTCTCTATCGCTACCAACCTTTACTGGAGCATTGATGGCTGTCTTGGTTTCCATGGGAACGACTAATGCAGTCATTGCTTGGCCCTGCCCATTCCAATGTGAGTGTGATTCTAGACTGCAAACAGTACGGTGTGCCTATGTTCATGGGCTCCGTTGGTCTACAAATCCAACTAACATTCCGAGTGATGTAAGATCACTGCACATCTCTGATCAAAACATTTCATCGGTAAGTGCTCTTTCTCGGTCAAACCTAACAAACCTCCGCAAACTGGAGATGGTGCGAAGCAGTATCCGTGAATTACAAGACACTGCTTTAGTGATGGCGCCGAAACTAAGACGTCTCAACTTGAGTGGGAATAGTCTGATAGCAATGCCACACGCCGTGTCATCTTTAAGAATTTTAAAAGAGTTGATTCTAAGCAGCAACATTATCACAGATTTGAATCCCTCCGATTTTGAGAACCTGACTAAGCTGAGAGTCTTAGACTTGAGCCTTAATAATATATCTATTCTGCCTCCGGGTTTATTCCAACCATTGTCAGAATTAAGAAGATTAAACCTGAGTTACAATACAATCGTGTCGATTGATGATCATACCTTCCAGGCTCTAACACACCTTGAGGATCTGTCTTTGTCCAAGAACCATATCCAGCAGTTATCACCAATCTGGATGAACAGTCTTCGATCGCTGTGGATTCTTGAGATGAGTGGCGCCATCATCGACCAATCTCAAGCAACAAATCTGTTACCAACCGATGAATCTGTACGGTATCCCAATCTTCAACAGCTTAATTTAGCAGGAAACATGATGTCTGACCTACCTTGTGATGCTCTAAGAGAAATGTCTGGTCTGCAGCTTCTCGATTTAAGCCATAATTACATCAAAGTCATACCAGATTATTGTTTCTGGGGAATGATTTCTTTGGAAGAACTTTTGCTTATTTCAAACGAAATATCGAAAATGGAATATTATGCTTTTGAAAATGTGACACAGTTATCAACGTTGGATTTGTCATCAAACAGTCTGGAGGAAATAGAAGCCGGGATATTCTACAACACAAATCTAAAATCTCTGTACATAGGTTCAAACAGATTCCACACGTTGACAGAAAACACATTTGCGGGAGCGTACAGCTTGCGACAGATTTTTCTTCGTTATAATCAAGTATCTGAAATATCATCTCAAGCCTTTTGGTATAACGGTGGACTTACTACCGTAGACCTTCGCGATAATGCCCTCCGGAGAGTAGGGGCAGAGTATATTAACTTAACTGCTTTGAGTTTCCTTGCATTTAGTGGTAACAAGATACATACAATCCAGACGAATGCATTTGAAGGCACATCGATTAGTCTTATCTATTTGCATAATAACAGCCTTACTACACTCTCCAAGCACGTATTTTCCTACATGCCCACCCTGAGTACAATCACACTATCTGGGAACCCTTGGCATTGTGATTGTAAGGTTCGTTACCTATGTGAAACCATGATAGATGCCATGGAAACAGGAGAACTCTTCCCTTGGTATGAAGATGCGGATGAGATGATGTGTGCTACACCCAAGTCATTCCAATATCAAGAGATGCAAACTGTCAAACCATTTCAGATGATTTGCACCACCTATGCTTCTGCTCTAGCTATTCAACTGATTGTGGGACTATCTCTATCAGCTGTGGCTATAAGTACAGCCTTGTATGTCGTGCAGCTCTACTGCAAGGCTAAGAAGATGGAGAGGAACGGAGTTGGAGATGCGAGCAAATGTCTGGCGTAGCAGGAGACCTTTGGGAGGCTTCAACCAAAATGAACAATCATTCATCGGATTTGGAGTCAGTCCTCTTTGTATGGTTTTACTTACTTTTCTACAAATGCTGGAAATGTCATATTTTGAATCTCGAAATACAAATGTATTTTGGATAGTATTTGAACACAAAGCAAAAGGTTATTATAATGGTGATGAATCATTAGTAACGATGAAGGTACCTCGTTTATGTACAGCGCATATTGTTACAGAAGATCCCTTTGCTGATGATTCTGATCTTAGTCGTGGTGTTAGTAATGGTGTTTAAAGCTCATGATTGAATGGCATGAAGGTCAGCTAAACTTTGTCACCAGTCATAACTTTGTCATCGTCACACCTATGACAAGGAACAGTTCCCGGAACAGTTACGATGATGGTTGCTGAACGACATGCAAAACATGTATTTTGACATATGCCGAAGTGGCTGTAATCATGTTAAAGATATAGAAGAAAGGATCGGCTTAGATATATTTCAAGGATTATGTTTATAAGTACAGTCTTGTTATTTTTGTACATACATGTTAAGTTTCGTGAATTCTAATCGTAATTATAAACATTCCATTTATAGTTAAGGAGCAAAATTTGCTCGGCTTGCTTTGTCATATATATTTTTGAAAATACAATTGAAGGGAGCCATGTCACTAAGTAAGATGATAGCCTCCCTATCTTTTTGTATTACAGGTGGAGTTCATGGTTTGCTTGAGTAGAACAAAAATCCATGAATTTCTTGAAATTTTAAATCACCTTTACCTCTCTAGAGATGTATTTAAAGTCAATAAATCTAAAAACATTATCAAGTTAAGTCAAATTGTTACCTGTGAGCAGGGGTAATTGATGTCATTATGATGCTACAACAGGTTATGAAACCTCCCCTCTCTCCCCTTCTCTCTCCCTCTCCCTCTCCCATCGTTCCCCTATATCGTCTCCTCCTCCTCTCTTTCTCTCTCTCTCTCTCTCTCTCTATCTCTCTTTCTTTCTCTCTCTCTCTCTCTCTCTCTCTCTCTCTCTCCCTCCCTCTCTCTCCCCATCATCTCCAATAAGAGGCGGCTAGGGTTTTTCATGATTGCCTCCATAGCCCATTTCATGTATATCAGAAACCATGAGTCGTGACTATGTTGTTTTTACCAAGAAGTAGAGGTTAGAATATACGAGACCTCCTTGGAATACCCAGGGATCAGAGGTGGTAGCCTCTCTGGAATATTGGATGCATTTCATCTAGCGCGAATATACATTTTACTTTTCATTAGCTCCATGACTAGTCATTAGAGGGGATATATTTCTAAGTACATTTGTTTCGTAAAGAACGTTTATAACTCACTGTAAATTACTGATGCTTATTTTTTAAATCATGTAAATGCCTAACAAATCAACAGATGGAAGTAATGATATGTTGAATTTACTGCGAGGAGTTTAAAGGTTTTTCATATGGTCAGTATTGTGTCAATCTATTAATAATATGTTGCGCGTGAGTTGTCAGATATTTAGTGTATTACATGTTGAAAAGCACAAGTCACATTATTCCGTCCAAATATGATAATGAGATATACATTATTTATTGAGGAAGAGTTTTCTTCTATAACATCAAAGTCTTGTAAAAAATTGATCAATGCCACAACATTTCCAAATTGCCGTAAACCTAATAATTATCTTTCTCCAAATATATCTGGAAATAAAACATTTATAGACTTGAAGTTTTGTCTTCTTTAGAATCATGGTATGACATGATATTCATAGTGGAGGTATCACTTTGCGTGTATCAAGGTGGTAACCATGGTTACACTAACGTATGTATGTTGGTTCAATAGAAAATAAAATATTGAATATAATTATAAGGAACCATGCATAGTTGTAATTTCACAAGATATTTTCAAATTCCATCTGTCGATTCTGGGTATTATGACATCCAGTTTTTCTCTCATATTGACTTCATTTCATCATCAACAAAATGATTTTTTTTTTTCAGGAGCTAAAAATATTCATTGTTCCATCTGAAATTGATTTGGTTATTGATCTAGCTCCTGAAGTTCTGTGCACTGGATGTCTCTATTTCTTTCTCTGCTTTAATTCCCGACGACAGAAAAAAAATGAAAATAATTTTGCCCTTTGTGAAAGCATATTTACTCACAATCCCATAGAGCATTTTCATCACGGTAAGACTTACCTTGAAGACCCGCGTCTGTTTATTGGTTTGCTGATATTAAATTTGATCTTCTATAAGAAATTAATATTTTGTGGACATCCTGGCTTCATAAATCTCTTATGAATATTTAATAATGATAAAATGTTGAGCAAAAAACGTAATATCTCTTTGTAACTATGACAACATTGATTTTTCACACTATTCAACCATTTTTATAGAAAGTGCATAAATGTCTTTTCTATCTCCTCTCATTTTTCAACCCTCCTTATCTCTCTCTCTCTCCCTCTGTCACTCTCTCTCTCTCTCTCTCTCCCTCTGTCACTCTCTCTCTCTCTCTCTCTCTCTCTCTTCTTCTCTCTGTCTCTCTCTCTTTCTCTCTCTCTCTTTCTCCCTCCCTCTCTCTCTCTTTTCTCTTCACTCTTACCGTATTTCTCCTTTATTTTGTTCCTCTGTGTTCTGCCTCTCTTCTCTACTACCTTTCATTCTCTTCTTTCTGCTCCTAAATCTTCACTTGATTATGTCTGCTTTGTCTGTCTTTCTATCTTCAATTGTATTCAATCATGCGTTTCATATACACAAATCTACATGTATATGATAGATAATGGTTAGCCTCGTTACTTTGTTTATTTAGTTGTGGTGTTGTGATGTAGTGTGCCCACAAGATGGCAGCATTCTAAATGCTCATGGATCACAAATAGCAGATCCCCACTCTCTAAAAGATCTTTTTTTTAAAATAATTATAGTCAAGTACACGCTATGGCTATTTCAATCAATGCTTTCACTTACCACTTTAATTTATCTTCTCTTATTTCCTCACCCTTTGCAGTTATTCTTTGTTTGATTTTCATCAGTTTTCATTTTTGACACAATTTTTTTCATCTGACAATATTTCATTCTGCCTACAACACTTTTCACTTTTTGTTTAATATTTGGTTTTTCGGTTTCAATTCTTATCAAAATTATATTGACACTGTTTAAGTTATATTTTATTTTCATTCGTTTTCAAACCCAGGGGAGTTTTTATAATTTATCAATGTAAAAACAGCAAATTATATTCTCAAAGATGTTTGAACATGCAAAGGAAATTTATATTAGAAAGGTTTTTTTCTAAGATACTGCAATTAATGCTTTGTAATGTTGTATTTTTTAAATTTGCATGTTTTCCCACGTCATGCTAACAAATTTACGTCAGTGTCAACTATTATCTTCCTGTCGCATTGTTTCTTTAATCTCGAAATCCTTTTCTTCAAACACGATTAATGGAAAGAGCTCTGCAGTGGCGGATCCAGGAGGGGGGTGCAATCTTTAAATTTTCGAGGCCCCCCCCCCAAAAAAAAAAAAAAAATTAGTGCTCACCCCCCGGACTGAGCGAATTATCCGCCGTCTATTTCGCCGCTAAATATTTTCTCACGAATTGGGCCCCCCTCCCCTGGCCCAGGCTGGATCCGCCCCTGGAGCTCTGAACGTTAGAATGACTTGTGAAGGGCATTTTTTTCAAGTTGAATAGCACAACACTATTTATCTGATATCAAGATGAATGCAAAATTGTTATCAAGATCGTAAGTTTATATATCTATTTATTTATTTTCGCTTCAATTGGTATGAGCAAGAATTAGTGTATTTCTAACAATGTGTAATAAAATACTCAGAAAACAGTAAAGGATGTGATGTTGTTTTCTATTTGTCTGAATAGTGAGGGTTCTATACCCCTCCCACCTGTCCAGGTTTATTACGTCAGTCATCTAAACTCTAGGACAAATACTGATATCCAAAGTCCTTTGGGAGCGTATTATATACAGGCGTGACGTGATATGCGCTGAACAAGAACGGAATATTAGTGTTGTTATTAACTATCCCTCTGACAACACCCCGACAAGTATCCCCTTAAACCCAGTCCAAGAGTTGCGAAAGCTGTTTTAAGACTGAGGTAGTTGTACGGGAGAAATAGAAAGAAAGAGAGAGAGAGAGAGAGGGGGAGAGAGAAAAGCAAGAGAGAGAGAGAGAGAGAGAGAGAGAGAGTTTAAAATGAAACAAATAATCTTTAAAAAGAGGCAAAAGGAAGCTATAAGCCTTTTATAAAACTATAATATGTAGAAAGTGTTTACATTTCACATAATTGCGTGATTTCAGATATACTCGAATAGATATTGAGGTTATCGATCATAAACGTATTCCCAGATAAACTAACAAAAATACCCAAGAGGAACAAATTCTCCTCACCCAGAAATCGAAGATGTAATCGTCTGATTGCTTATAGTTGATGTTCGGTGTTTATGATAATGTGATTGTCCATCTAGAACTATCCACGAGGGAAGCCGTTTATGGGATATCTGCTTAGGTATTGGGTTACTTTCCCCGATCACGGTGTCGTTACCATGGATACTTCTTTTAATCATAATCATTGTAAGGATAAGATGTTACTCAAAACGCTATTAAAGTCTTTCCTATTGTATATCATGAGGACAATCACTACACTGATAGTGTAGTTACTATATATATACATTACTTTTAATTTGTATAGGCCTATACTCTCATATTTTTTAAAAATTTGTTCACGTTCATTGCAAAAGCCCCTTTTAAGTTCGTTCATAGCAAAATAAGGAACTAAGAATTACAGTTAAGAAATCTGGACCTATAGAATAATGTAGTATAAATAAAAACAATAGAGGTTAAACAAATACGAAACAGAAATGATTTTGTTTGATACTATCAATTACTCAAACGTTTCATTTTATTTCTCATAAAACTTTACAAATAAAATACAGCTATTATAATGATAGAAATAGAAAGATTTGCTTCAATTCCACCGTTAGAAAGAATACAGATAGGTATAAATATACATATAGTTCATAATATTCATAATATATCATTTTAAATGAAAGAATAGCATTCCTTCAGCATGGTCAAAGTCAAATACAGCTTTAAAAATTCGAATAATGTTGATATCCAAAAAGTAATTTTCCTACTATATATCGTTTTGTTCCACGAACCAAAGTCGACCTTTCATACTACTTAGAGAAAAATATCAAAGTACAGGCGACTTTTTTGAAAGACCCAATATAACGATAAAAAATCGTTTGAATTTCACTGAATGCAAATGAAATAGGAATGGAAACTAATGAGATTGAGGGAGATTATTAACTGAAAAAAGGGAATAATCTCATGAATCTTAATAATCATCAATAGCATAATAAATATAAACATTTTCGGCTAGTGTGTGGCAAGCTATACGTATACTATTAAAACAACTAGAAGTAACAGCATTAAAAAAAAAATACGTTTCGTATACATTGTACAAAGCCTAGAATGTATTTTCATTAATAATTACATTTTAGCATTGCTATGAGCGTTATGTGAACTGTTCAAGTACGTGCGTGTGTGTAAGTTTGTGTTATACCTTTGCTCGTTCGAAGTGAACAGTATGTATATACTTGTACAGATACGAAGAAATGTTGCTAGTGTTTTATAGGTTATAAATCAATATCATAAAATGTTCGCCAGGTCGAAGCATTTAATTCAGTTTGCTCAAGAATTAATTTTGCGTTTCAACAAAACATATTTGCAAAGCCCGGATTTAGCAGATGAAATCCATGCACTTAAAGCTTATCTGCCATAGTTTACAGGAGGGATTAGATCGCCCTGCAAGGTCACTGGACAGGTGGTTATCTAATCAACCCAGCTCTCAGTTAACATAAGAAAAAGAGGATCATGGGGGACCAATGGTCACCGATTAGGCATTGTTTGTTATATAGAGGGCGCAAGTAGCTACAAGTAGTGCAGTGGGCCTTTAATGGACTGCGTTAATTACACTACACACGGGGAGGATGGTGCTACCGAACATAAACCCAGAAATCTTCGTGCATTTTTGTAAAGAACAACTTTATATATTTCTTAGCTATTAAACTCAATCTTACCCAGAACATCAAACATTGTACACGCAATTATGTCAAGTTATTTGGAAATCCTGGGATATAATTCACTTATCTAAAATTATTGGGAAATAAATTGAGAACAATAGATGTGTGTTTAACCATCGACAAAGTAGAAATGCTGTCTTCGTATTTTGAGAATACATTGATGGAATTCGCAGTTATCAATCAGTACGTGAGCTTTAAAAATGTGAGCATGAGCATGTCGATGAATAATGTTTAAGCTGCAAATATTATGCTGAGTGGGGTCTCCAGGATTGGTGTGGAGCTAAGGGGATGGTGATGCGATCTTTAGACGTGCTGAGTGGGGTCACCAAGATGGATGTGGAGCTGAGGATAGAGATTGTGAGGAGGGTTGGACGAAGGCTTCCATGGAGGGCGTTCTAACAAAGATATCCTTCCCTTGTTGCGCTCATCTACCCGATCAGCTGAAATGGCAGATAGAGAAGATAATACATTAAGGATGTGTTATGGTCTCCACAAATTCCACATTAATAAAGTATATATCTTTTTTCATTGTCACTGTTCAATATTATTCTGACCATGAACTACTTTAACAATTATTGAACGGTGGCCAAGATGATTCACAAATTTTCAACAAGTTAAACGAAATGGCGAGAGAGAAAAAATAAAAATAGTATTTCTAAAGAAAATGTCTTTTACCATAAGTTTTTCTTGGTTTCTTAGTCTGGCCTTGAGCCTCATTGGTTTGTTGATTTCCCTTCATGCTTTGTGCTGAGTTTCGTCCACTTTGCCTTGAACCGGATCTAGAACCTGGTCTGGAGCTGGAGGCTTTCTTTGGTGGGGTAAAGATAGTGTTTCTTTCAGCGAGGGTGATTGAACTCCACTCCGCCGTCTGTCATATCGATTGGGAAAAAATAGAAGAAATTATATAAGCAATAGAGATACAAAAATCACTCAATGTCTTGCTCTCCTGTAAGAAAATATGAAAAAGAAAATATGAAAAAGAAGACGCAAAAGAAGTATAATCGTAATAATAAAATTGTATACAAATTATTGCAAAAACGATTGAACAATATGACAAAAAAGAATCGTCATCATACAAATTGGACGAAGTCTAGTTTTACAATGCCATCTCTATTAGAGCTTGATGAAACAATGCATCAACCGACAAACATGATTGTGAAAATGACTTTCTGCAATACTACTTCAAAGACGTTTCTTCAACTGAACTGGATGAAATCAAGAACAGGACCGTGCAGACTCAGGGCCCGAAGGACCCCCCCCCCCCCCAAAAAAAAAAAAGAAGAAGAGGAAAAAGTAGAAGTACTTAACAAAGTATGAATGGATGGATGGATGGATGGTTAATATTCAAACCAAAAATGTACTTGAAAAATCTGATATGATATGAACTATTTAGTGGTTGTTTTTAATTGGATATGAAATATAGAGTAGTATCATGTGTGAATAAATACATTGCAACGATTTAAATGACATTCCCTGTACAATACCTAAGTTATTTGAAATGGCACATTTTCTTGCAGTTAGAAGAAGAAAAAAAAACGCTGCAAATTTGATCTTGCTATTTAGGCCACGAAAACAATACAGCACATTAGCTAACCGCTATTACAACAACGTATTAACTTCCCTACTTTCAAGATCTGGAAAATAGAAGTTCGTACTTTGAAGAATTTCGTATGATTATGTCCCACTTATTTTTGAATTAGTTATTCTTCTAAATCAATTCAATACAAGAGGAATTCATGATTGCACATTCCCTTTTTTCACACATCTGCTAATTTTCATTGTTTGAATTTTATATTATTATGAATTATATATTAGCTGATAAAACACCGTAAGGGCAAGAAGATTGGATAAAATGAGTATCGACGTATAATAGTTTTGTTTTATATATTACATGCACATGCTGATGGCCAATCAACAATCTTTTAATGAGAAAAAAATGTATGCCGACCTTTGGTCTCGAGTCTTGCACCAGTTTTGTATGAATGTCTACTGATATTTGATTTGATATATTTATAAATATGTATCAAGAGAACTGCATACTTCTATATGTGACCACAGCTTGCAATACGACTCAAATATTTCATTCAGACCTATACTACGAATGGCAAAGACCCCGAATCATATACCATAATGATCGCATTAAAGAAAAATGCCTCACTTTAGTAAACCTTCAAAGAAACGGTAACATTTGGAAGAGGATTATTATCAAACAAGGAAATTTCACTTATAGAGGTAAGCAGCAAGCAAAGATATATGTATATTATTTATTACCTGTCAGACTCCAAAAATGGCTCTGAAGGAAACACCTGTCTTCTCGCAACACAGCACAACACACCTATCTATACTAAACTAGATTGTGCACCTGTGCTTATTGATACGTTATACCATTCGATCATTACACGCGCGATAATGCTATTGTGTAGAGGCACGATCGTCTGTCATGCATTGTGTCGCGGGTAGCGGTACGGGTTGTTATAGCAACGACCAGCTGACTGGAGCTCGTACATGAAAAGGGAATAGCCGTAGAGGGCTCACATCGGAAGGTTCGTCTGCTAACTTTCATCATATGGAGGGCCTAACTACTGTTAGTTTTTCGCTTACTTTATAGAAACGTTAAAATCATCATATTTTAAGAAGCATTTTCTCTAAAGATCACTCTAGTGGTTAAGGAATATTACTGGAAACTAGTATTTAGTTATAACCGATTAGGCTTCAACTCAGCCCTACACCCCTCCCCCCCCCAAAAAAAAACACATATATAAATAAATAATCAATTAAGTATATAGTTTTTAAAAAATGTTTATTATTCAATGAATTCACGGAATTTAGTTGATGTTAGGAAAATCATTTGGAAGAACAAAAAATGAGTGGTCAGCTTGGCAAACGATAATCTAACTGTTAGGTATTTTCTTATTTTCATTTTTTCTTTTCTTACCGCATCAGAAACATCTTGAAAAATGGACACAATGACGGGGATGAGATTGAGAACAGCGCCCCAATTCGACACTTCACCCGTGTTCAATCCTCGAAACTTCTCAATCGTTTTATGTGTAGCAAGATCGCTGAAGTCTGTATCCTCTTGCAGATGCTCTCGACAGAACTCGATGTCACTTCGGATCTTTTCGGCTTTGGCTCGCTGTTTTTCATGGAGTGTGAGAGCCCTGACGCTCTCTCCGATACAGCTATGCATTTCATTGCATAATCTTTGAAGGGTTTCTACCGATGTGAGGAAAAGATGGAGTACGTTGGTGAAATGGGTTGGTCGATCACCGTCTAACTTCTTAGAATGTTCGTAACAATCACGGACCTGAAAAGAGTGCCAATGTTTGAATTAAAACAATTATTGTGCATTTATAAAGTTCAAAAGAAAACAGTTGAGATAGGAAATAAAGGTGGAAAAATTTAAGTCACTATAGAGAGCGGCTTTAACATTTTATATTCGCTGAAATACCATTATAAAAAAACTAGCGTAACTTGTGTTTTAGGAGGTGTGTCATGAATAATCAAACGGTTAAATATTTAAGATTCAAATAACGAAGTGTACCTGTAAAATGGTAGTGATGCTCGGACCATAGGTTGTATTCTGTCCAGTTGGTGATCTTAGCAATGCATCAATAAAGCTTCTTGTCTGTTTATATAGCTTCTGACATGTTCCTTCTCGTAATCCACGAAGTTCATTAGACAGCTGTGAGTTAACACGAGCTAGGTATGGTAACACCTCATCAGGGTTCTGGTTAGAAGCCATCTTCTATTCTCAAATCAGAGAGAGAGAGAGAGAGAGAGAGAGGAGGAGGAGGAGGGTGACGGATGCGACCGGATGACGATGTCTATTTTTGTTGCAATTCTGTAAAAGAAAATCGATGGATGATATTTGTTAAAGAACAGAAATGTCAATTCATTTATATTTGTGTGTTAGGGGGAAGAACATTTAAAGTAAACCTCACCCCAAGAAATAACTTTCCTGAGACTGAGAGAATTGTTATATTCTTGCCCATCAATCTACAAGATTCCTCATGTACGACGTGGCATCGCCATGATAATATTTTATAAAAAAAGCATTTGGATATCGAGGTATTTTCAGCCGCAAAATACGTGTTGTCACTAAGGAGACTGAGAGTACTCTATTTGCTCTAGCATCTTCCATTCATTTAACCCGTGTTCTCTGATCAAACAACTAATGACCAGCTTCAATTCAATTTAAGAAGGGCGTTAATAAAAGGTTGTTTCTGCAGCATCCAGTTATACTTCCATCTGCCTGGTTTTAAAGTAAAGACAGACAGTTTGTTGCGTCATAACTGAATTCAATCAATCGGGTGGACCATGTGGACGGTCTGGTATGTATTTTGTCATGTAGGAATCATAATGGAATGATGAACCATGATTTCTGCTCTGAAATTTGACCCCCCCCCCCCCCCAAAAAAAAAAAAAAAAAAAAAAAAAAAAAATGATGATGAAACAAACTATTCTATAGTCGGCTACATGTATCTTGTTTGAAAACAGATGACGGTGAAAAAGATGTAAATATAAAGACATTAAATGCTGACTAGCTTTTATGTACTGATGGCATCAATAGCCGTTCTGTCACCCCTACCCACAGTTAGAATAATGATAATGTGATATCATGGTTTGTGAAAATACAAAATGAAATGCCTGTGTGAATGAATAAGCATAATTCGATATCCTTCAATCAACGCTAAACTACAGTATAATGTTCGGTAATAACAGATAAACAACCATTCTATCACTCTTTCAAAATAATGTACCCGGTATTAAAATTTAATGAAAAATCGAATTAAAGCTTACGTGTATCTTTGGGTGGTGACAAAAATTCTTACGAACTAAATATGTTTCACACGAAATGATGGGTTTATCGGAAACATCTTAGTGATAACCAAGATAAAAAATACAATTGTACCTCGAACTTTGAGCACTGAATAACAATATATCATAATCCCATCAAGTATATAGAACAATTATGTATTGAAATTTGATACAATAAACATGACACATGATTATAAATATATTGCACGATATCGAAAATTGTTGGACAATGTATCAGTACTCGCGCCTCCATACGTCAAAAGGTCTTTGTTTTTAAAAGTGAGAAATATAAATAGAGAGAGGGAGGGAGAGAGAGAGAGAGAGATAGAAAGAGAGAGACAGAGACAGAGACAGATAGACAGAAAGAGTGTAAGTGTGTGAGGGAAGGATAAAAGGAGGGAAGATAGCGAGATATGTATAAATAATTTCAAGCCAAAGAATACTACAAGTATTAGCAGAGCCACGGTTACCAGGGATACAGGTAAACAATCCATGAGAGATTATAGTCGAAGAGAGAGGATTTACTGGGTCGACCTACATTGTAATCATATCTTGCACGCATGAATTAGGCCTTTCAACAAATTAATTGGCAATAATGGAAGACCATTCTATGAGTGAAATATGCAGCCATATAACTTTTGGGGGAATGAATATAATTAAATGATGACAAGAGAAGGTAAGGTTGATAATAGTTTAATATTATATCAGAGGATTTTTTTCAATGTTGGAAGTCTTGTTGTATCGGCTTCAAATAATGATCATAAGACAGTCTGATCATAAATGGTAGAGTCAACAAATCAAAACTTATTTTCGAATGTTTTTTATTTTAGAGAGAGAAATATTCTATTCAGTTCCCCCCACATTGCACTTACTCATTTTCTAACGTTATGTGCATATACTCTTATCATGGAAATAGACAGACTAAAAAAACAAAAGGCTATATAGTATTTCATGTTATGGTGTATGAAACAATTAGTCGGGCTTTGTCATAACAGAGTGCCATGATTGTCATATCTAAAAAGAATCATGATGTTACCAAGACAACTCTATGTTGAGGCTAAGCTACTGGGTACGTCATTTATAATTTCTCCATTGTAATGAATTTGTAAGCTTCTTTTTGGCACAAAGCGCAAGCCTCTTGATGAAAGGATGTAGGCCTAGGAGACAAATCACACTCAACATCATTGAAAATATTAATTGCTAGGTCAAATGCACGGGTTGGGAAGAAAGAGGAAAACATGTGTATTGGAAGTCGATGTGTCGAAGCATTGACATAGATCCTGCACTCATTAATAAAAAGCTTTATTCTGTGCATTTGAAAACGTGAATTAAAGAAAATATGCAAAAGGATAGATTGTTGAAGTGAAGTAATACAACAATATTATAATATCTTCAAAAGCCCGACATTTATTATATCCATATGCGTAAGGTTAATAATATATATATTATTTTCAATAATAATTATGTATCTTAATATGGATCTTGAAGCAAATACATGTGTATTACCCATGTTTTGCCTAATTATGTAAAGCTTTTTATATTTAAATATCTATAATGAATATATCAATGACATTGCGGTTTGTGCTTTAGGATTCATTGTTTAATTTTGTAGTCGGTTTAAGTTGGTCTCAAAAATTATGCTGCATTTACATTGTACGGTATTATATTTGTATTATAGTTTATTACACTTTATCCGATTATATATCAAGTTCTCCATTTCAGCCTATTTATCTGTCCTACTCTTTAATTGTCCCTTTTATTGTGTAGTCTCCTCGCCAGCTTCTCTTTCTCATTTCTCTATGCCCTCTCTCTCTCTCTCCCCTCTCTCTGTTATTATCTTACCAGTCCTTTCTAATCTTCTGTTACATTTGTCTTATTGTCTTCTGCTACGCGATCGTTCTCCTTCAATTATCCTTTAGTCATCCGTTTCAATCTCTTCTCTTGTTTCTCTTCTTTTCTTTGATCATATCCTTGATTATTTATTATGAATCGCCATTTACATGTATATGTTATGCTTTTGAATGTATATTTTGTAAATTCAATTTGTTTCAGCCTCTAGCTGCTATTTGAATGTTTTTTAATCAATAAACCATATCAAATCAAATCAAATCAAATCAAATATATATATATACAGTGTGTGCCAATATACCCTATATATTCTACAAACATTCTGTGCACATACTAAAGGGCTCTAGAGAGTAAGAAAGCCGTTATGTGAGAGAGGTTGAATGAACCTGAATGTGAATAGCTGAAACAAGGCATCCAGGCCATGAATGATGTTTAACCAATAATGCTTACAAACAACTACAAGGTTATACATCCCACATAATCTATATACCTTTGTTCTCAATCAGTACTCAGATATATATGTTCAATCAATAATGCAATGTAGTTTGCATGAAAACAGGTTTTCTTTGCTTTGCTAGTAACCTCCAATTATCATATTAAAGCCTATATGCACCAACTATACACATAGATTATTGATGAGGTTTAAGACCCGGTATGACGCAATAAGATAATTGTTTTTATTTCTGCTGAAAACGTCACTCGGTATTCATCGAAATACAAACATATTGCAATCGAAATTTACCATTTTTATTTCAACATGAATAGACTAGATAAACTAGAGGAGTTCATAAAAGTACATTCTAAAAATCCCATGATAGCCTTTCACACTCCTATTAACGACACATATCGTTTTTGAATTGTATCTGTATTCATTTCGGTAATAATAATTCGCATGGTAAATGAATGAAACTGTGTTGAGTTAGAAACAAAATAGCAACCCGAAAGCTTACACCGTTCGTCTCAAAATATAAGAGATTCAATATTATACATCTGGAAACATCATAATAACAAACTTCTTATTTAATGAGATGTAGGTTATCATCAACATTGGATTAATTCAAATCAGTATTTTGATGTGTAATTAATGAACATTATTAGTAAAGAAAACAATTAGGCCACATCGAATCTTGGGTGGGAGGGGACCGCAGCCACATTTAAAAGGATATTCTGGCTTCATAATAATATACAGATAAATCCAAAATTATCCCCCTCCTGTGATCAATACCCCTTGAAACATTATCAATATCTTTACTCTGTGTGAGAATAAAGTCGAATTGGGCCAATATATTTCACAGAATTCCCAACCATGCAGTCTAAATGTAACATTATATCATTTGCATGGTCTTTATGATATGCTTGAAATTAAAATATACAGAGTAATATAATATAAGTAAACGCCTATTTCACTGTATAAAGTTTGTAGTATACTTACCGTGTATGAGACTCTCACGGTTTATCGTTCTCAGAATATAGTTGTTAACTCAGAGTCTTTTCACACACTGGTTGGATTAAATAGTCCAGTTGTAATGAGGTGCAAATTAGTCTTCTCGTGATAATAAGAGCTCGCAATCTTGACACCATATACTTAGACCTGTCATTGTCAATACTAGATGTGTGTAGTTTGTTGTAGCAGGTCTTTATTTACCGTACTACACACTTGTTGGCCAACTCTCTGCCATGAATGAATGGGTAATACGAGAGATCGTACTGCAGCTTGTATGCTTACTGTACACACCTTCTACATATTGGTTGTACTCTTAACAACGAAGCACTTTCACGTGAATATGTTAAACAAAGTGAATTAACGGCTCCTTCTGTACAAAATGCACTGTTTCGAGACCATTACCGGAGATCATCGAAGCTACATTCACTGCGAAATTGCACAGGTTTAGTACTGCAGTGTCTCTGATATGTCATGACTAGTATAAAGACCCTACTTATTTACATTTCAACGAAAACACACAACAGAGTATTTGGAATAAGACTAGATGACATCGTGGTTAAAGGGTGAATTCTTTCAAGCCAACTTTGACTGTCTTCGATCGGCATTGACCCGATCACACGTTGAATACAATCTTACCCCGGGAATACATTGAATAAGGGTGCGATGTCAACAATGCCGTTACCATGACAATCCTTTCCTTGTCACTTCACTGTCGTCTTATCTCTCTTTTTAAATCGATTTCTTTCTAGTATTGTTTCTATTACCACATTATTGATCATTGAGTTGGGTATTGAAAAGATCGATCTGCAACGACCTAACTGAAAATAAGAAAAGACCAATCAGGGATATGTGAGTTTCAAAATTTGACATCATGTACGTTAAACGCCGAAAACTATAGGCCTACAGAAATATTGTTACATGAAAATTTGCTAGTATAGTCCACTCAGGCAAAGAGCGTGGAGAGATTATGCTTATGAAAAACGACGAACAACGAATAACAGAATGATAGAGCGAGAGAGATAGGGATAATAAGAGGATCGAGAGGGAGAAAAGAAAGAGAGAGAGAGAGAGAGAGAAAGAGAGAGAGAGAGAGAGAGAGAGAGAGGGGGGGGGGAGAGAGAAAGAGAGAGGGGGAGAGACTGAAAGGGAGAGAGAGAGAGGGATGAGAGATAAGTGAGGAGAGAGAGTAGGGAGGAGAGTAGAATAAGAGATATAGGGAGAAGGAATAGAAGCAAGAGAAACGAGAGAGGAAGACTTCCAAAGTAGATGGGAGGAAATTAATGTGAAGAGACTAATAAATAAATATTGAAAGAGCATACATTTTGCAGAGGGAGCTCCGAGAACGTATCTTTCGAGATGATCCCATAATGTCAGTTTCTCTTTTTTTTTCCGTGAGGCACGTGTTCATCTATATTGTTAATGTTATTCATGCCAAATGACAACATTCTATTATTATATCAATGAAGATGATAATAAAAACGATTGCAACAAATGAAGAAAAAAACGTGGAATTCCTTAATCTTCGATGTCGTCTTTACTATGTATTTCTCCTGTTATTCTTATCCCCTCCATATCCAATATCACTTCAGTTGTTGAACTCTCTCTCTCTATAAATCTCTCACTACCCTTGTCCGCCCCATTTCTCTCTCCCCTTCTTTCTCTATCATTCTCTCTTTCACTACCCCCGTCTGCCCATGCATCTCTCTCTCCTTTCTCTCTCTCTCTCTTTCACTCTCTGTCTCTCTCGCTCTCTTTTCTATTTATCAATCTCTTACTACCCCGTCCGCCGCCATCTCGCCTTCCTTATCTGTCTGTCTCTATCTTTCTCTCTCTATCTCTCACATCCCGTCGGTCTGTCTCATACCCCGTTCTCTTTCACTACCCCGTCCGACCCCATTCCTCTCTTTCTCTTGTATTTTTCTTTCTCCTTTCTTTTTTCCAACCCCCCCCTTCTCTCTCTCTTCCTCATTCTCTCTATATTCACCCTCTATTCTCTCCTTCTATCAGTCTACTAGTCCCCCCCCCCCCATTCTCTCTCTCTCTCTCTCTCTTTCACTACCCTGTCCGCCCCACCTCTCTCTCTCTCTCTCTCTCTCCATCATTTTACTATTCATTTTTCTTCATGCACAACTAGCTTGGAATTTTAATGTTCAAGTAATACAAGTCTACACCTTTTCTATTCTCCCATGTCAAGTGCAAAAATATAAATGGCTTTATTGCAAAAAATCCACCTACATAAACAGTCGGTGAGAAATGTTACATGTAATGAAGTTACAATTTATCATAGTGTTAGCTATTATATACCATGTGAATGTAGCCAAGTAATGTTAAATCATCAGTCTGAATTTGTCTTAGATTTCAACCACCAAACTGGAGCTTTGTTTCTTCTCAGTTCATCTTTAAGAACATATTTTTCTTTCTCTTTTCAATTACATGATAACACCATTTATTCATTTTCCTCCCATTATCCGACCAGCGGATGAGAATCATGTAGAAAAAAAAACTATGCCTTGTTCAAAGTAGATGCCAACAGACATATCTAAAGCCTGTGAGAACATCATGAGCGCAGAAGGAATGGAAATACAGGAAACTGTCCATTGCAGGATCAACTCATTTTCCTTTTGACTGATCTTTACGGAACAGCACCACAAACTGATGTTTACTTTTTTTTAATCCTATGAAGTATTCACCTTTATCAACACACAAGTCTCACATTGTAAATATTTGACAGCAGTATTGCTCACTTGTTGGTTCTTTTTACCCATTAGTATTTTTAAAATAAATCCCCTTCGTCCGATTCCTTCATATCATTTTGATAGATTTGTAAACCAAACTATTACCGATACAACAGCGAGAACATGATTACTTCTGCTCACTTATCTACAAGTAAGTTATGAAATTAATGCCATGTTCATCAGATCACAATAGTACTTTTGTTGATATAAATATAAGTATCACACACGAAATAGACTTGCAGGCAAGGTATCTAGATAAAAGCAATGAAATCAACACCTTGCAAAACTCGTTCAATCGTAAGATAATTATTAGGCACATTGAAATCAGAATCAGATAACCATACAAATAAAATATTTCTTCAATATATTTTCTCTTTAAAAAAGCTCTCATTCTTCAAGAAGTACCAGTGAGTCGGAGGGTGTAACTAACTTGAAAGACATTGGAATATTTGGTAAAGATACAACTTTTAATCCTGCAAGCACAAATGATTTCTGGACCACACTTTATCAAGAAAAACTCAAAACATCACAAGAAAGCAAAGTATTCGCAGTTTGAGTGACTAAGAAAACATTGTCTCATGAAAGAATTATAAACATTGTATAAAACATATTCCTTCTACTAGAGACCAATCTTCCTCTAACACCAATCAATATTCTCCAAAAGGACTGAAACCCATCTGTATGAACTCTGTACTACAATGAAAGATATTAAGTACACCAATATACATTGAAAAAAGTGCTTTTTATAATACACGTAATAAGGACATGATGACAACTAGACATAAGAAATTATGAATTTCTATGTAAAAATTATAGATATATCTTATATTTACAATGTTCTCATGTACATGTTGAAATACTTATGGAAAGATGAACAAATTAAGTTTATCTAGAAACACAGATGAGTAGAATATAAACAGCTTGTGTGCAACATTTAAAGAGTTTTTGTGTCATTCTATTGTTAGATGTCAGGACTAGGCTTGTCTATTAAACTATTTACTTGAAGTGACTTACTCCAATAATAACCACCAATAATTCGCACAACTTATACTTTTTGATTATGTGTATATTTTCTGAAAATAGACATTCCAACTCTCCAGTAATATATGAAGTAGTTACTCCCAAGGAGCCCACTGTAACACCATGGATTACTCGGAGTAATCTATGACACTTATTCAGAAAAATCCAGCCATCTTTTTGAATTCGCAACATATTAATGGTTTTGAGAAGTTGTGTCACAAATGCAAATAACTTGCAATAGAATCTGCGAACCAATTTGAACAGATATATAACATTGGTCTTCAAACATTGAGGCATGAGGCATGCACCTTGACTGTCATAATAGCTCTTATGTTAAACAGGACCTGACTTGGTAAGATTAGTAAGCTTCTCAGGGTGCATTCTAAAGTAGACCACAGCACCAATGATCAAGACTGCTGCTGCAATACATCCTATGACAATACCAGCAATCTGGCCAGCATTACTTGATCCTGTAGCTACATAAGTCCCACCACTCTGTGTCTCTACAGCTAGAGCATTGCCTTGTCTGCTGAATTCAACCTTCTCCCAAGTTGTAAAGGATTCTGGGTCGCTACGGAAGAGCTCAACGACATCTGAAGTAGATCCGTTGAGGAAGAGGCGAAGAGTGAAGGTCTCATCAGCGGTGGTGATTTGACCGGTGGGGTAGATGGTCACAAAGTTACTCTCTATCTTATCTCCTGGGATATCATCTGGTGAACCATCAACTCGCTCTATCTCCCACTTACCCTGCTGGGGATCCCATTCAACAACCTTGATGTCTTCTAAATGATCCAGGGAACCTCGACCAAAGTTCAGCTCACTACACATTACAAAAAAGAAAGGTTATGATGATACAAACAATGCCACTTTGATTGAAAACCGTTCAGTTTGATGATATGGAACATAGCATGAAGAATGACTGGTAGCTCAATGATAACATGGTCTCTCTGGGAGCGGACATGTGCAGAATTTGATGCACGTTGTTGATGGTCCATTATTTTATTTATACTGGGAATCTCGCTCAACAAGCCTAGCTATTCTGAGATTGCCTTTTTTCCCCTCTCAGTTAAATCAAGCAATATAAAATATTTTGTCGTATTCTCAAACTTAAATGTACTCTGTAATCTTATTTGATTACGAGCATACTTGTCAGTATTTTGTTACTTGTATAATTCATTTGTTCTATTATATATTGTATTACTGTATGGTTTGTATATGTCATTTAATTTGTGGATATTTGAGTGGAAAATAAATCAAATCAAATCAAATCAAATCAAATCAACATAGCTTCATGACTAACTCACCTATGAGAAGTAGTCACATTGCCTCCTGTATAGCCAATAGCACTATAAGCTGTCTGCTCCACACCAACCTTCATACGTCCCTTCTGGCTACGGTTGGAGAAGTTATTATTCCTTGTACACATGTAGTGGTGCGTCCCAGTCTCTGTGACTTTGAGAGGCTTGGCATCAAAATAAGTACCAGCATCATCCAACTCAGACATCTCACCTCGAAATTGACCTGCAAGGTCAAATTGATATGGGTCAAGGGTCAACCACTATGAGATTGCACGGTTACACATACATCAAATTATGTTAGGACTTGAAACCTATAAATACAGCAACATCAAAAGAGATTTCAAATTGCATTAAATTGAAATAACCTACTGATAGATTTACTGAACTACAGACTAGGCCTTAAAATGTTACATCAGAAAAAGGAAGGACTAGTTTCCAAACTATAGGTTCTATTTCTACAATTTAACCTTTCTTAAAATTAAAAATCTTCAGATGACTTACCTGGTTGCAGAACAGCCATGTTTATGAGAGTCTGAGCAGCTAATCCCACAAATGATGTATCTGCTAGATGTTTAGGATAGCTGTTACCATACTGCCCACTCACACCAAACGGTTCATAGTAGGCTCCTGTACCTTCCTCATAGTTCTGTTCTTTGAGCAAAGCAATGTTGCTACGGTCAGTCCCTTGACGGCCTTGACCATCATTATTGTTTGGATTTGAATTGGATCCAGTCCATCTAAACAACAAATCAAAGATTGTCAACGGGATGGATTAAATCATTCATAAAGTAAAGATTGGAAGAGAAAGAAGAATTCTGAGATTATATGGTCTTTGAATTGGATCCAGTCCATCTAAACAACAAATCAAAGATTGTCAACAGGATGGATTAAATCATTCATAAAGTAAAGATTGGAGGAGAAAGAAGAATTCTGAGATTATATGGTCTTTGAATTGGATCCAGTCCATCTAAACAACAAACCATAGATCATCAAACAGGATGGATTAAAACATTCATAAAGTAAAGATTGGAGGAGAAAGAAGTATTCTGAGATTATATGGTATTTGAATTGGATCCAGTCCATCTAAACAATAAATCAAAGATTGTCAAACAGGATGGATTAAATCATTCATAAAGTGAAGATTGGAGGAAAAAGAAGAATTCTAAGATTATATGGTCTCTGCAATGAAAATACATGAAGCCAGGATGCAGGAGAAATATCATATCTGAAGATTATGCCTAATTACTACTGTGTCATTATGAGAGAAACATTGTTTTTATTCATACAGTTTGCATTAAAGCTTGGAAAATATAAATGATTGTCATTAATGAAGTTCCACACTTTTCTTCAAGAAAATAGTTTGAGAACGTATGTCGTACTATTAAGCTAAACAGGATTTAAATTGACTTTTTCGTGATTCTGAAAACAATCCCTTTTAGCTACTTACTGTGGATGAACGAAATCTCCAGGCATCATTTCCAAATTATTTGGAACAAAATCATATTCCACTCCGGGAAAGACTTGAACAATGTTGCCTCGTTTGCCTCTTACGTTGAGATTGTACACAGTGTTAGCAGCGACCTCTGCAGGCTTAGCACGAATGGCAAAGGTATGAGACCTGAATGGAGAAAAAAAATGGCATGGTTGTGATTCAAGAGGGGTTTACAACTTTTCAAATAAAAATGAATCATTGAATTGTATATGGTAAGTGTACATTAAACTGGTTGAAAAACAGCTCCTTCAGTCTTGCCTTTTTTACAGCATATTTACATAATGCACCTTGAAAGAAAGAAGAAAAAAAATCAGTCATCATAACTAATGAAATTTCTCTTTTTTCGGGGGAGGGGGGGGGGGGAGTGAGAGAGAGAGAGAGTTTAGTCTGTCATTATAATTTCAATATTTTTTCATTTTGTCTTTTATTACTACATGGGTATGTTACTGTCTAACACTGTGGGCTGATTTTGTGACATGCCATACAATTATTACTGGTACCTTCAATAAAAACTCACAGGAATGATGGATGACAAACACAATACATGCTGCCTAGTATGTAATATGAGCTTTATGACAACAGTAAAAGTTTCATATTTCATAAAGCTATCAAAGCATCTCATTCTGCACACAAAACCTTTTCTATGTATCTTGTTCTTACCTGTCTTGAAACGTCCTACCAAGTTGAGCTGTGTTAATAGCAAGTTGTAGATTGAAGTTATCTCCATTAGCAGCATCAGTGAACATCTCAACGTTAGGATTGTTCTCAAAGACATAGCCTCTATCCTCAGCTTCTTCTGCTGTTAAACCATATCTACAACAAAATCATTGCAGAGTAGTTGTTTTAGTGATTGATTATTTATTTACAGAATATAACAAACATAATATAATGACAGAATTATTTCCAAAGGATCACCCTGCTCAGCTGTGCTATTATGACAGCACAGCTGTCCCACTGAAGAGTTCTAAGACAACAATATAGTTTCTTATTCATGTTACAAGATTGTATTGTTAGATAAAACATTGCATATTGTCTTGATCTTGATCTGAATCCTCTTGGCTCAAACATATTTCTGGCAGAAAAAGCTAACTATATCTTACACATGTATTTAAAGTTTACATTTTTCAAATGAAACATTTATGTATAATCCTTTAATCTATAAATGATTATGAATTAATGCCAACAAGTAATTTCATTGAAATATGACTTACCCCTAAAGCCACTAAATATTGTCTACAACCTACCTTGTATATACATCAAGTGTGCTCTCTTGGTTTCCCTCTGCATTTAGTTCAGCTGTAGTGGAACCATCCCAGCCATCAAACTCACCAGTAGAAATGTTATACCTGGGTATACAACAAAGACCCTTCTTTATCAGTTTGATGTGTAACAACATGAGTTTTACAATGATATCATAGAAAGTTATATAAGTTTGGTAATACAAAAAAACATATTCAGTTCAGTGTGAAAAATGAAGACGAAAGGGTACTGCCACAAACTGGTATAAAATGAACAACATACCAGCATACTCTGTGTAAATAAAAGAGCAACATTCTAGTACCCGGTATAGCATGTATCATATACTGGAGTAACCCGTATTATGTAATGATAATAAAGGATTAATTACCTTATACGTAAAACACAACTCTCACTAAGAGTTTCAGGGATAGTCCAGTTGTAGGTGTTAGGCTGTCCGTTGACTCCGTTACCAAGGTGATTATCTCTACTCCAATGGTTTTCTCTGCATGCTGGAGCTGACATGTTAAATGAAGCATATTCCTTCCAGACTCCAAAGGTTGCATTACCCCCAGCAGCATTCTCTATCTCTACAGCCTGCACAAAATGAATGAGTAAACAAAATGATATTACCACTACAATGGAAGTATACACTGGATGTTCATGAGCGAAGGAATTTAATTGTACACCGTAAGCTAATATCTACATTTTATGTTACAATGACGGAGTGACTGCATGATAAGCTACAAATGCACAGTATTGTTTGGATTCATTTACATTTCTTTCTATCTACTGCTATTACAATAAGTTAGTTTAAATAAGAAACTGGCCTGTTCACTGCCTTAGTCTGGGAGGAATTAATAATGGAGAAAGACAAATATAAATACAAAGAAATGCCAATATAAATTATTTTCTTTAAATAGGGGAAATGATATTCTGGTATAACATGCTTAACTTCATGGCTTTTGTTTTTAAAAATAGCTGTAGTCATACCAGGCTGTCATTTACTAAGAAAAGGTGTATTGTATGAGCTTATATATTGAGATTGCTTTGAGTATCCTTGAGTCTACCTGCTCCCTATCTTACCTCACATGCCTCCTTAGTGATAGGAATGACTGGCCGGTTACGATTAGCATTCCTGTTTTCTTGTAAATAGGAGAAGGGAAGGTCACAAGCCCATCGTGATTTCACATTTTGACTTTCAGTTTGGTAGTACTCGCATCGCTCTGCATCATTCGTGAAAACAGCAATGTCCTTCATGCATCAAAGGGAGAATACAAAAAACATGTTATCAAATAAAATCTGATAATAGATCATTTATTGATCTTAAACAAAACAACAGTATGAAAAGTCAGCACTAGAAGATAGCAGTAAAAGTAATGATCTCTTCTTATCTAATTCAATAAACTTAAAAAACAATGTCTGAATTACAGTTCCTGAGATATACAAATAATATTATGCTAAACTGACGGGTGGGGGGGGGGGGGGGGGGTGTCAGTCTTAACAGGTAGCATTCAATAATTGTGGCTATAATTGAGTCTGTAAAGATTGTGGGTAATTGAAGTTTGTGAAATTGAAGTTTTATAAGACCAACAAAAAATATTTGAAGGAAATGCACAAGAGAAAAGGAATCTAAGCAAGTTCACAATTGGGAAAAATCTTTACTTTAAAGAGTTGTCATGATTTTTTTTTTTTTTTTTTTTTTTTTTTTTGGGGGGGGGGGTGGGGGCAATGTATACCCCACACCTGCATAACTGATACACTTCTACCAATTACCATCCCTGGGGAGTTTTTCACAAAGACTAAGATGATCAACTTTGAGTTGAACTTAACTATGGCAGGCCGTTCATCCCACTGTTTGCTCTCACCATTTACTGGCATTGGTCTCTCAAGGGACGTACAAATCATGTTCACAATTCTACAGAAATTACATTTTTTGATCGTTCATATTATGAGAGCAATCAGTGGCATGAATGGCCTGCCATAGTTAAGTCCAACTTAAAGTCGACCTTAGTCTTTGTGAAACACCCCTAGGACTAGCACCCCTAGGGCTAGCACCCCAGGTAGGTAATACTTACACCCCTCCAGTGCTATTTCTACCACTTACCATCCATGGGGTAGGACCCCAGTAAGGGTAATGATCCCTCTCTTCTGGACACTCATACCCCCTCCTAGTTCCTTGTGGATTCTGTCTGGTATACCTTGCAGTCTCCCCGTTAAGGTTCTATATATTGTGAAACACAAAAGTATGCTTTTAGTGGGATGCTACTGAAGTGAGCTAGAGAAAGAACACAGGGGGCACATGTAGTTCACGCATCCTTTCTTTACAGGGAAGTAAATGTACAAGTTTTCAACCTTCACCATCAAACTTTATCAAACATATAACATACATTTTGTTAATGTAACACTTATCCCTCAAAAAGATTATATAGTGCTCAATGTCTAACATATATGTAATAAAGATAATAATTTAATAGTAATTGTCATAAAATCACATTGTAAACAGATGCATCTTCCGTAAAATAAACAGTTAAATACCTATGATAGCTTCTCTCAAAGTACATGTCATACTGTGCTTAAACTGTATATGAGTAGAACATTGATCCATGCCAGATATACAGGACACATTTAATCATTGAATAATAGTGAAATATAATTGGAAAGCAACACATTTCGGGTGCCAATTGTTGCTTTTCTCTTTATACAACAAAGCACAGATTGTTATTTCTGGTTGGTTGGATACAAAGAAGAGAGCTACAAAGGGAATAATGGTACTTACCTGGTCAGCTGTAAAGAGGTTGGCCTCACGTTGGCGAATCTTACAATTGAGGTAGTTATCAAAGTTCTCATTCATACCATATCGGATGTCTGTGTTACAGTCATAATTATAACACTGGTTAGGGTTCTCAGGGATGGTTCTATACAACAACAAAAAACAAAAACAAATACCAATCACTTTAGCATAAAACCAAGTATACAAGAACAAGCAGAAAATCCATTGGACTTCATTGAAATTTTGAACACACAGTTTCAATAACACAACTACTAAAGACAAACAACAGCTTGTAAAAGTGTGGATGTGGTGGTTACCTTAGGCCTAAAAAAAAAAATTGATGACTTGGCGTAACCCGCCCGACCCTATTTTTATCGCCGACCCTACGTTTTTTTTTTTTTTTTTTGATAAAGGATTCTTAAATACTGGAGACATTTTTTAACTGTTTGTTATTACAGAGCCATTCACAATTGTAAATATTTTCACAAGTTGTAATTGGCTACTCTTTTTTTTAAACCCTCCTTCTTCAAGATTTTGGATACATGTATTAATGTTAACATGTTAACCTCTAGACAAGTTATAAAAATGCTAGTCAATACATTGTGAAAATACTAATATTTGTGAACAGCCCTTCTAAACCTAAATATTCACCTGTTTATCCTGTTGAAGACAGTGTCTGAGATATCTCAGGCTGGGGTCTGTTGGAAACCTATTAATGCGTTCATATGTTTGCATTTTATGTGCATGAGGGTGTATGTACATGTACATGTATGTATGCAGGGGGGGGGGCCAGGTGTATGTATGCATCCCCCAGGTCCCAAGGTGATCAAGATTTCAACAATTTCTTGCTCACTTTGCTCACACAGTGTGTGTGTCCATATATGTGTGTGTCCATATATATGTGTGTGTGTGCGTGGAGTTATTTGAACATATTGTGGTCTACCCCTCTCATCAGATCATCCCCAAGGTCTGAGGACCTATCTACGTCACTGTATGTATGTATGTGTATGAATGGCTAATTTCATGTATGCAAATATAAGCAACAACAACAAAAAAACAAAAAAAACAAAAAAAAACAAAAAAAAAATCGCCCTACCTACCCTAATTTTCAGTGACCCGTTACGCCAAGTCATCAATTTTTTTTTTAGGCCTTATTCTTTTACTTCCAATTTTTTTGGTGACTTACACTTACATGTTTAATGAGAAATGATCACCCACCCCCCCCCCCCAAAAAAAAAAAAATGTTGCTATTACTGGGTATATAAACATTGAAAGTGGATTTAAAATCAGAATTGTGGAAGGAGACTAGGGATAGGTATCAACAACTTAATATAACACCATTATGGTTCATCATTTCATAGAAGAAATTGATTTTTTCCCCTTCAAATTGGCAATACCGGTATGTAGAGCTCTGTATTTGAAATTTCTTTCAATCTCTAAGATTGGCAGCATGAAGAGCAAACTCACGTGGTAGTAGTTCCATCTCTGACCCATTCTCCACACATGTATTGCATAACAAGCTCACAATTGGCATTTGGATCTCCACAGCTGTGCTGGTTAGTCCTAATAAACAAAAATCAATACATTAATTAGACTTATATGAAGCACAATTGTTACAGGTATATTGTAGCATTACATGAAACTAGTGAATGAAATACATGTAAGTCCACTTGTAAAACACAAAGTGGCTGCCAATGAAACTATAATGTGTTGCAAGTCTGGAAGATAGGCCTATCGGTAGGCCTACTGCCTGGCTGTGCATAACACAAAGGATGTTAATTAAAAGAAAGCTGTACTACTACTACTACTACTACTACTACTACTACTACTATTACTACTACTATTACTACTCCTATTACTACTCCTATTACTACTACTATTACTACTACACACTGTACTACTACTACTACTACTACGGTCAAACCTGCTTTAGTGACCACCTGTCTATAAAGACCACATGTTTTGTTTCCCTTGAAACATGTACTAAAGGAACCTGTCTACAAAGACCACCTGTCTATAAAGACCACTTTTTGTGTTTCCCTTGGGTGGTTGCTTTAGACAGGTTTGACTGTATTTGATATTTATGTAGCATATTACATTCCAAGAATATATGACTCTATGTAGCATGTACATGTTAAGTAGAAGCCATTATTTGTACAGGCATTTTTAGTGTTTAGTGGAAGCTATATCCATGTACACCCTAGCTAATTACTCATCACTTGATTTGATCGCCAAACCCATTTTTTGACTAAACCATCTGATGTCATTCTGTGCCTCATAGTGAAACATTACAACTGTTGCTAAGGAATATGATCAGCCTCACCAGACGTAGAGACAGGAAGTGATTAATGACAGGTCAATTAAATGGCCTCTCTCGATCCCTGGGCATCAATCTATCTGATTAACTTACTATTATTACTAAGGTTAAGGTCGTAGAGAGGAATAATTTCTAGTGGAATAATGGCATTACTGTAGCTTGATCATTGCAGTTATTTTGGAACATTAATAAATCTACATCACTCGTGTCTTTCATCATGGCATTTAAAAAGAATTAATATGTTAAGAATGCACCATGCAGGGGATAAAAAGATTATGTATCTCTGCAGATATTTATCTATACCAGTATATTCCAAAATGGGGAAAATGATGTATATTTCGTTCATCTAAAATTAAGTATTATTAAACAGGGTTAACACTGCTACATTAGGAAATGTTGTGAGACTATTTCATTTGATAGGATGCTAAGGGCTCATCTCACCATTCTATTGGTAGTACTGAACCAGCAGTGTAGTACAAACTACCCACATTGTAACCTCCTCGATTGTTGTTCTGGGAGTCAAACATTCTGTGAAAATACAAGTAAAAAGCATAAACTGTCAAAATGTGTTCTCCTAAAAATTTGCTTTAAAACATTACATCCATTTAACAATTAGAAAAAAAAGTCACGTTCAAACACTTCAAAAACTAAGCTTTTGTATTCCTTAGTCATGACAAACTGAAATGTCATCTAAAGCTGAATTACATCTACTACTGTATGAAAACTATTTTTGTTTTTTTATTAATTTTGTGAAATATTGTACCATCATAATACCATAACAAATTATTACCTGTATATATAGCATGTGTATTCTGACTACATAGCCCTTTTTGGCATATGTGCAACAATTTAATGACTGTCATATAATGTCTCATTATCTCACACAATGAAAGCAAAGACATACAGGAATAGTTCCACGGTTCATCTAATGACAAATGGACATTTGTACAGAATATTTCATATATAGAGTAACCTTCATTATATTTCAACTTGATCAAGAATAACATCTCACCTGTTTCCATTATTTCTCTCTCTTCCATTTTCATCAAGTCTGTTGTTGCTTCCCCTAAAATAAAATAAATCAGAAATTCCAAGTAAGTACTTTGTCACTCTTATCTCATGTCATATGTTATCAAAAGTTGCATCACAAATCCAATTATGATATGCGTCAGGGATCACATATCTCTGTTATATATTTGCCCACTCAAGTATTTCCCTGTAATTTCATTGGTATATCATTTTGTTTCAGAATGAAAAAGTTACAGTAGAAACAAACAAAAATGAAAGTATCAAATCAATTTGATAGAAATATAAACATACTGTACATGATCACTCACAACAAATCACAACTTTAATTTCCCAGAGAAAGTCAACCTGAAATGATAGTACATTTGGGTCCTCTATATTCTGTATAGAGGGATTGGTAAACAGGATGACACTTCAGCCTGTGTTATTCTATTTCCTGGTAAATTCATTTGCATAATAATAGGTTGAGTTCAACCACCCTTGAAGTGCTAAATGTTAATCACATGCATGTAACCTGTCGTGAATTGATCCCATACCATTCAGTATTAGAATAATATCAATATTATTTATTAGTTAATCCTGCCCCTCAGTACGTAAAATTATCAAATATTATAATTATCAATTATTATTTTACTGTTTAAGTTATAAGCTGCATTATCTTGCCCATTTGTAAGTTTGTATCATTATCATACAGTACCTATAAGGGGTTTATAATTTGCCCATTGGCTGAACGAAATCACCCAATGAATTACTTAAAATCAAATTAAAGAAATTTAATAACTGAACCTTGGGCCTCTTCTGACTTTGTGTCAGGGCAGTTTGGTTGGTTGGTGGGTAGTGGAACCATTGAGTAGTTAATACAACATGATACAGTAAGATCACTATTACAATAAATGTTACTGGAGACCCCCATAAACTTATTCAGCTGAATAAGCAGACAATAACAACCCTCTCTGTAAAAGCATGGTATAAGTTTGGCCAGAATATTGTTGGTTGATAGACAATTGACCTATTATTTAGTTGCCAGCCAGTGCAATATAAGATCAATTAGTATGCAATCCTGTATACAACAGTGGTCCTTTATTCATTGTGCAGGTAGGTGAACATTCATTACTGGTACCTCATGTTTTCATTTAGCTACCAATTAGTTTGGGAATGTATCATTATGTCTCCCAACATACACGTGCCAACCAAGTTACCTTCCCCTTATCATTCCCTTTAACTATAGAATGAAATCTTGAAAAAAAATTGTTCTGATATTCTTCAATATTTTCCTCCAGACATCTCTTTCTTTCTACAGATCACAAGGTGAAGATTTGGACACACTGTCAACCTTTAAGTAGCACCTTGCACAATGGCCCTGCTGCCTCAGTTTTCTTTCATTCAAAAAATCTTGGATCAGTCACTATAAAAGGGGGGGGGGGGGGCAAGGGCACTTGCCAAACAGCACATGGTGCCACACTTATATGGAGCTTCAAAATCATTACCCTGGAGACACAATTGTCTCTATGAAATGACAGCTACATACAAGGTTGGCAATAATTAATAGATGGAAAGATACATGCTCGGCCTCAACACAAAGAAATATATAGAATTATATATGTTAATACATTTATATGCTATAATGCACTTATTACTACACCACACATCAAATTGACACCAATTTGCTTTTGACTTTTTTACTCAGCAAAACAAAAGTTGATGCAGGCCAGGAGCTGATAAAAGATAAACTATCAGACTCAATTAGGCCCAAAAGAAAAATATTTTGTATTGCCCTTTGGCCCGGGGCGGTTGGTTGATTTCCCCCCCCCCCTTTTTTTCCCTCTTTGGGCTGATATTTGTCAGTTTTTATTGTTTTTTTACATGTTTTTTTTACATTAATTTTTTGATTCATTAAACTTTTTTCTTCTTCTAAAAAACGGTTTTAAAAAAAAACCTGACGATAGATTTTAAGATTATTGGGTCGGTCGCAAAGGGCAATAAATTTTTTTTTAAAGCCTCATTGTAATATGAGCTGCTTCCTCCTATATCATAATTATACCTTTGAGGCTTTTTTAATATTTTTTTTACTAATTTTGTTTCATTCCTCCAATGTGTAATTCAAACATACAATTGAATGAAATAAATAAATGTTTTCAATGTTTAATTGCTTAAACATAAACGTAATTTAAAAAAAAAAACCCATTACAGTACTGGTACGACAAGCAACAATTGAAAGTAAACTTAAAGTACATTAAATTAATTTATAAGTCAATTGTACATATATTATTCACTTATATAAAAAATATAAAACAACTGGAGGTTATAAAAAAAACTCACACATATATCTTCTGTGAAATGGTATATTGGGATTCTGTATATTGCACACACTGACACACACATATAAGTATAGAACTTTATATACAACTAATTACATGGACTATACCATATAATTATAGAGGCAAGCTATCATTGCAAAATGCCATCATTTTATTATGTTACTCTACATCGTATGTCTACTTTGATTGTGCATAATGTCGACCGTAATGCACATCTCCCATACCAGAATTATCATATTTGTAATGTTACCGTATACGTCCCTTATATAATATGTACATGACTTGGTACAGTACATGCGCACTCGCTAATTACTCACGGATAGTACAGACGTAAAGCCACAAGTCTAAACTAAATATGTTAAGCAACTTACCTTGGGTTGTGCATATAAATATCTGCATTTACCACTGCGATAACCGCTAACACTGCTGCAAATATCTTCATTTTGTTTTTTGACACTGATATTTTAATAGGAAAACATGAGCTCTGCCTCCAAATGACGGTAAATGAGCCCGCTCACTTCTACGTCTGCCAAATTCTACCAGTTGTTATACCCAAAGTCATGCAATTCTATTCCCTCAAATACACCGAATCGCTTGAAGCCCCGCCTGTCACTCAAATATGTAAACAATGATTTTGCGTCAACAAAGTTGATCTTCCTCCGCGCCAAAATAAAAAGTTCTCTATTGTAGAGCAAACTAAAACCTGTTTAACGGCAAGATGACTTGTTTTAGAATACCAGTCAAATTAAACATGTAAAAATCGAGCGATAATGATAATTAAAGGGTCATTAAACGAATCAATAGTTTCATACTTTCCCAATATTGTGTATTAAAGGGGCGTTGACAATTATAAAACCGAATCACATAATGTAGTAAGAGATGCTTTATGACTAGAAGGAAGTTCCACGCTCTGGAGGTTTTGGGTATTTCCGCGTTCCAATGTATTCATAGTGAAAGTATAATTATTTGTTATATACCATGGATTTTACTTGTAAAATCCATGGTTATATATATAACAGATCTACATTACGTACGATGGAGAATATGTGTCCTTTTAAATGGTTCATTCTATTTCTATCAGAGTATACTTCAAGATACTTCAAAACTAACATGCGATTCACGATTTCAACGTAAAAGTGGTTATCATTACTATCTTAATCATCAAATTAATCATCATCATAATCATTTTATTATTAGTGATAGTATTATTATTATTATCATTAGCATTATTGTTATCATTGTGATTATCATGGTCATTATCGTTGTTATCAGTATTATTATTATTATTGTAAATATTGCTATTATTATTATTGTTATTATTATCATTATTATTATTATTGTTATTATTATTATCATGAGCGATCATGGGTGTATACCGTGTATTCTTCTTCTTTTTATTGTTATTATTATCATTATCATGAGAGATCAGGGGTGTATTCTGCCATTGTTTTTATTCAATATATTTTTGATCTGTAGTTCTATAAGAATTCCGTATTCAAACGATATTCTACTCAGAATTTCCGAATATGTTCAGTTTGAAAAATAACGCAAAGGAATGATTTGCGCATGATTTACATAATTTCTTTCCATAAATTGAAAACTTGGGACAACTATAGCATAATAGCTTCCCACTGATGTTTTGAACCCAATATTACTAGTATTATCTCATCAGAATGTATTTTATATTAATGTTATAAATGTTTCTTTACAATATAGGGTCTACATCAGCCCTTGCTTTAATCTGAAAATAAATGAATACGAATCGGACAGCACAGAAAATATTTGTAAAAAAATTCTTATACTAAAAATCTTCAATGACAAGATATAAAGGGGGAAAGAGAGAGACAGGCAGAGCAGAAGATAGAGTGAAATAGAGAGAGAGAGGACAGAGGAGACAGACAGACAGACAGAGAGTGAAAGAGAGAGACAGATAGTGAGCGAGAGAGAGAGAGGATGGGATCAAAATTACAAGTTTTAATTTATATGGTTAATTTAAATTATTTATACTTACAGATACATGTATTAAAAGAACGTCGAAGTTTATATATAATATATATATATATATATATATATATATATATATATATATATATACGATAAGTCTACGTACTAAATAACAAAATTATAAATGTAAAAGTGACATGCTATGTTGGAAGCTTTGTGCAAGGTACATGACAAGAGACACTCGCCAAATCCAATTATACTTTGTCACATCATAAATTTTATACTTGCATGTTAGTCTAATAAAGAGGACCTTTGTCATTCAGGCAAGTCAATTCTTTGTGATGTTAACATCCATTTCAGCAATCATTCACATATTTATTCATTTATTATGTTAGTCCCATTTAGTACCACAGAGTGCCTGATTCTCGACAGAGCCCTGCTATGAACATATTAAACTTCCTTGTTTCTTTGTTTCTTTCTTTCTCACTTACCTGCCTCCTATACTTACATACAAAACAAATCAGAAGTAATTTGAAACATATCACTATTTCGCACTTTGTAAAATGTCTTTTTTTTGTAATGAACCCAGTGCTGCACCATTTCTTCTGCATTCTGTTCTGCAAAGCGCAAAGAGACATGCAATATTGTGCCTATGTGTTTTATGCGCTAAATAAACAATGTTTAATAGTCATTACTAAGTATTAACAGTATTATGTAATTCTTTCTCCTTCTTCTTTCTTCTTCTTTTACTAGACTGAAGTCTGAATTGATACGATATTTCGAACCAATATATCTTTATAGTATTGGATGCAATGGTAAAGCATTATTATACAGATGTAGTTAAAGAGGAGGTTGAGTTCTGGGAAAAGGTGAACAATAATTTGCGAGCGTTATCATTCTTATTATGCAAGTGTGGAAGAACATCAGATAACACATTTTCCCTTAAAAACATGGCTCTTCAAATGCCTTCATATTCTAAATATGTCATGTAACATCGTAAAACTCGGGGGTAGGATTTTTACGCCACGTGTACGTGTAGTCCCATATACATCTTTCTGTGTAGAGTGTTTGTAACTTTACCAAGACTTGGCCAAATTTCTTATAATTTTGATGATTCCAGAACCTTGCAATACACACAAATTCTTATATGCTAGATGATCAACCTGGTCGATTCCACACCGTTTCTTTCACAATGCAATCGCATGACCAGAACTCAACTTCATTTTTAAGTTCTTTCTACTTGTACCCTCCTGCCCGCCCCTCTGTCAAAGTCCATCCTTGCTCATTGCTCACCCTACAATCAGCTCCTGTGTCGGTAAAAGTTGTACTTTTTAGCTGTAATTTTGAACACCCCCCCCCCTCATAGCATTTGCAACGGGCCTTATGGAATTATATTTGAACATTATGATTTGTCATCTCCCCCCTCCCCCCTCTTCTCTTAATTTTTTTTGTTTTGTTAGTATCATATACATCTACGCATCATCCTTTCAACAAAAAAAGGAAAGGGAAGCCGGATGTTGTAAAAGATGAAGAAAAAAAAGTGGAAGGCCGAGGCCTAAAAAAGAGAAACTTTTCTCCTATGAAACACACAAAGAAGAGAAATTAATCAATGCACCTACCTAAGCCTATAATCCTCGCATGACGCATTAACATTGTCTAACCAAATAAGGAAAAGTCTGTGACATTACGTCATCCATGATGTGGGCCACTTTTGTGAACAAAGATTCGTTGCACACTATTCTAGATAGAGAGCCCCATTCCATTCTTCAAAAGTGTTCTAAGCCCCGCCTACTTTGTTACTGGAACTACTTTTCAACTCCAGTCGTGATATATCCCAAATAGACCTATATACTTGTCAAAACACAAATACTAGTAATCATCAAGCTGTCAACCAAGAACCAACCTGTTGAAGTATAAGGTATGTAAAACACTTATTTTCGAACTTGCTTTGATATATTTGATACATTTGATATGTTACTTTATGGCTTTTAATGATCGCAAGTGTCTTGCGGTCGTGGAATTTCTTACCCAATTAATAATTAGCTTAGCCCCACGTACCAACATGCATGTATGTGTACTGCACTGGATCTGGATTGGCAGCTGTTGAATTGAGTGCTCCGAAGTTATAATAAGGTTTATATGGGCTTTCTGAAATGAATATTTGCAGCTTTTGAAATGTTTTATAACCATAATGTTCATTGTTAATCATGTTAATCTATTGAGAGTTTGAAGAGGTAGGTCTACTTTATTTTAGACTTGTATTGAATTTTACGTTTAGATTTAGTCAGGACACTAGTGTAGTGATTCAGCCTGAGCCACTACGGCTCTGTAAGTTATAGACTATTACAACTTCGAGGCAAGCGAAGAGAAAAAAAATAATAAAATAACAAAATAAGAGTTATAGGTTTCAACAATTGATAGACAAAGCTATGATAATAGCAGTAGGGTGACCTGAGTCTTGACTTACTCTGCCTTAGTCTTGCTATGTTTGATATAGACCCCTAATATTTGTATATTATATGATATGTTAGGATAATAATTATATATTATATAATATGTCCAACTCACTTTACTCCACCAGCAGTGTTTAGCAGTATATTATTTGAGATTCAGGGTTTTTACCATCTCACGTATTTTTAAAAATTTAATGTGTGCAGTTTACTGGTTCAGACTGTAAAAAGTGGACGAATGCAGGGAAGTATTTACAAAAAGAGGCGGGGATGGCATATTATTAATACACCATCGCATTACCATTAATTTCATATTCACCAAAATGCTTAAATCAAGAAATAAAATGATGCATTTTGTAGAAATCACTACATGAATGGTTGAATTAATATCAAATTGAAAACACATGATACAAGTACATGCTTTGCAAAATATCATAAAAATAGAAAATTACAATTATTACAAAGATACATTAAAAAGGGCATAGTCTACATTGATATGATCTGTAATTCATCAACAGATGTAGTTTGTGAAATTATTCTTAAAGGTTTTTAATATTATTTAACTTATTGATTTGTTTAAAATTATATACCGGTATACACCCTATATATATATATATATTTTTTTTTTTTGGGAAGGGGGAGGGGGGTAATACAAATGGTGAGTTCTTTGCATTAAAAGATGATGTGATAATCTATACCGGTAACTTAAATTAAGAATCTGTTCTTCACATCTGCACCTCATGAAGCTACAAGGGGACACCACCAGAAGCTGTATAAGCAAAGGAGCAACGCAGTCCTAAGGAGAAACGGCTTCAGTCAGAGAGTAGTAGAATCCTGGAATAGTCTTCCTACATCTGTCATCTCCGCATCTTCACTCACTTCTTTCAAAATTAGATTGGACAAGCACTGGTCCTCTCAGCACCAAATGCTTCCATAACATTTTATATGTGCGTCCACCCGCCATGCAAGCAAAAATAGTTCAGGTTCATTTTTGAACGAAGCACCACTCAATGAAACGACCGGAAGTTTCAACAGGATCACCTCACACTTCCGTATACTGATGCTGATGCTGATGCTGATCATTGTATTTCACACTCATTCACAGTAGAACCTGTTCTGAAATGTGTAAAGATTGTCAATTCATAGGTGCACACAGAATCTTAGCATTGCGGGAATGAGACTGCATGGGTAATATTTAGTTTCAGAGTTATATTGTACAAGATATCTGCTATTGGAGAGAGAGAGAGAGAGAGAGAGAGAGAGAGAGAGAGAGAGAGAGAGAGGGAGAGAGAGAGAGAGAGAGGGGGGGGGGGGAGAGAAAAGTGACCAATAAGTGTGGATAACAAACAAAATGCAAAAGCTAATAATAAATCTTTCATCTTGTTTATCATGTGTATGCACAGGTACAAAGTTTATTAAAAATACTTTGACTTCACCTAATTTGTTTTTAATCATAAAAACAAAAGAAAGTAAAAATATCTTCCTGTCTCAATTTTTCATTAATTTTCCCTTTAAGCCAGTTTTTAAAGATCACCTGTCCTAATAGACTGGTTTACCAACATATTCAAATTGATGGATGTATCTTTCCTGTGGACCTAGTGACGAGTTATTAACCTGTTATCAATGAATGAACTACGATACTTGGAATCCTGTCTGTATACATTATCTGTTGCTATGTCGGGCAAGCTTTCAGGTGTCAAGGCTTTTCAGAATTTATGATTCTGGCAATTTTCTTAGAAAGAGAATCCCCTACCAGCATCTTGTTTTATGGTATCAAGATGATATGCGGGCTATCATTCATTATATCAACATATTTCACCTTGTCTAGATCAATGAGACAGGAAATATAGGAAAGTAACAGATTATGTCCCCCCCCCCCCCCCCCCCCCCACCTCACCCATAGGCCTACCAATGATTATGAATCAAGTGTGTTGGTCTCTGTTTATGTTAATGAGGCCCAAATCCCTTATATAACAGAATGATACATATATACCCCTTTGTAATGGTGATTGAGCAATCGACTGTCACCCCTTACCTAGGAATCCCAAGTGTCATAGATTATAATGGATGCATATAGGTGTAGGAGATAAGGAACGACTTGGGTGGGGGTTTTCATCCCCCAAGAAGTTTGAAAGTAACAATACTTTGGCAACCATCACATTGTATTTGGGCATGGAGGGAAAGTGTTATTTCTTACCTTGTGTCAAACTATGAAAGGTACATTAAAACCCCATAAATAAACATGTACATGTACATACCCAAATGCTTGTTTGTCCTGTGAAATTTTGCCTGTGGCTGCACATGTGTTTCCAGGGGGAGCAACAGCAACCCCCCCCCCCCCCCAAAAAAAAAAAGCTTGTGATTTAAGAGCTTTATGACAGAACTGTTGATGATTTCACTTTACCATAGAATCTTGGATTTGTGATTTAACAATGCATCATTAAAATTCATTGTACATGCTTGTTTTGTTTTTTTATCTTACAGGATCAATCATGATGATACCAAGGGGAGCTTATCTCATTGTGCTTGCCCTTGTATTAAGGGTACAAGGAGACGTATACCTTCATAACCCTAGAGGTTCTAATAACAGACTCAATGAAAATACAGCCAACAGACAGAATGCTAACAGAGCATTTGATTCACAGGTCAGTCATTAATATGAATGTATCATCTGTTTCGAGCCAGAAGGGCATTATTTCTGGCTCCAAACAGATGATATGCCCTTGATCTATTTAATCCATTTATATAGGTTAGTGTATCGTAAAACACTACAAGAAAGAAATCAAGTCTGTCTCTGGGAATAGAGTCATGGAATTATTAGTACCGTTAGTCTGTTAGTCAGACTCAGAATTTTCATTGATAGCATTAGCTGAATAAATCATTCCCCATTGATACAGGCCAACTATGTGTCCACAATCTGAATTGATGAAAGATAGTAGTGATTATGGATTCAGATGGAATTTAAAAAAACTAAACATTTAAATGTGACATTTCTTTGTTTGTAGCTCAGTTATCTTTTATTTTGTTGCTGTTGTTCTTGATTACCGGTAACGACATAGACATTTCCTTTGTCTCGATCCTAGGTAGATGAAATATCTATATCATACATATAGTATATATCATTTTGTATTTCTGTATGAAGGATTATAATTTCATAAATCATTCAATGATTTTCATTTTGATTCTCATGAAACAAAAAAGTAGTTAAACTAATTCTGATGGTTTTTTCTTCTTCAGAATAACAACAGAGGAGGATACAATGTTGGTGAAACAAATGCAAATGGAAATACACAAGAACAAAACCAGTATAGAATGGTAAGTCTTGCATTCACATTCTGTTTTATATAATGGAGAAAGGAGGAAATGGATGATGTTTACTTTTCATTTTTGTGACAGTTTGTTTTATATATACCACTAAACAATTTATATAACTTTTGTCAATGCCCGATACACCTATGTGATGAAACTTCAGGAAGTTGTTACATCATGAACCAGGAAGTATAAGCACATTGTTAATATTGAGGTGGGGGTGCTGTAATACATGTGTATTTGACAGAAGGTTTGATTTCTTAATTAGTTTAGCTTTGATGAGACTCATCAAGTCCCTGTTACCAGGACACAGAACAAACCTTGATATCTAGGGCTGAGAAGCAGGAAGAGAGACAAGGAGACAAAAAGGAAAGGTCTTTAATCCCAATTCCATTCCTATAGATTTCCTGTTGAGCGTGATTAAGCAAAGGTCAATGGGTTTTAAAGGTTGACAATGGCGGTATTATGTTTGACTCACTCCGCCCGGCGAAGAGGACAAAGATCTTTTGTGTTGATTGGTTCAGAGCTCCTCACTTACTTCCTTGTACTGATCAGATAACTGATCAACCAAGGATCTTGGAACAATTTCTTGAAAGATCCTATTAACTTTTGGCAAACTTTTATTTATAATGGCACTGCTGTGATTAAATAATACATGTACCATTAAGCAGGATGATATATTTCTTAACTATGCCATGGTATTCACAATGAACATAATATACCAATTCATGTAATTAGGATTACCATAAACCTCTCATCTCTACGAGTTGATGCTAAAGAGTGTAGAAGGCAAAATGTCTCCAAAGATTGCAAGATCATCTTTGCTCACTACTTTAACAAATGAATTTGTTTTTCCTGTGATGATCTTGACAATGATTCACAGTACTTATATTCATTTTGCTTGCTCTATTCAACCACAGAAAAACAGAAAGAAGAAGGAGGAAAAAAAGAAAGTGTTAACTGTTAACTAATATTTTTTTCTTCTTTTTTCAAATGTATTGTTACCTTTTCCCTGAAATATTATTTACCCACAATGTTATCTTCTACATTGTATGCAATCTCATTCTGGTTTGATTTGAATCAATTTCATACTTGCCTGTATCTTTCGTTTATTTATAAATGATTTATTCACCAGATAAAATTAAATGGTATTATAGCTATCGACCTAGATAGTGATATCTAACCAGGATTAATAGCTACAGTGAATGGTTTCATATCTTTTGACCATCCTAGTTATTTGTCTTATCCCTCTCAGCTTCCATGTTATTTTCCACTCTGTTTAGTCTGACAAAACTTCACTGAAATTTTCTTTAACAGTTTGCTAGTTCAGACTGAGAAGGTCTCCCTCACCTATGGTTAAGCATATTAAAAAGAAATGGAAAATATCTAGTGACAGGAAAATATGAATTATATTGGCTACAGTGCTCTGCTACCCCATAGTTTTATCAATCATTAAAGCTTCCTTTTATGGTCACTTACTTTGATGAATAGAATTCAGAATAAATGACCAATAATGAATCATCAATGTATTATTGAACATTTGAACTTGCATCTGCTCTTGTATGAGGCACCAGGAAATCCTGAAGTACTTGGAATTAGATTAGTTATTCATGTGGTTTTGACTAGAGCAGATTAAAATATATATCACTTGGAGACATTTTAGATGTATAGCGCTATTATACACCAGGATATTATTAATATTATTGAATAGAATAAAAATCTAAATTATAGTACCAAACTCTCACCTTGTTTAAGGTTGAGAAGGTTTTGTGGTTTATGCTTGGGCAGACACATATTTATGGGCAAATAATATTTGTTATTTTTGTTTTTGTTTCATGTTTATTCAATTTTATTGTAATTTGTGAGTTCTGTGTACTTATTTTTAGCAAAATAACTGCGTTTTATTTTTAGTAGCTCCACTTTATTTGCAATTACATACATACATACTTGTGTGTATGCTTGTGTTAAGGTCATAAAATCTAGTTTATATTTACATGTTATTGTTCAATGAACATGGTTGTGAGGTTTTTTTTATTGCCTTCTTTCCGTCTCCCTTTCTCTCTCTCTCTCTCTCTCTCTCTCTCTCTCTCTCTCTCTCGCTCTCTCTCTCTCTCTCTCACGCTCTCTCTCTCTCTCTCTTAAGTGTGTGTCTCCCTCTCTTTCTCTGTTTATGTTGTCTTCATGGATTGACAAAAGCATAAATTGTTTCAAATTTCAAGGAGCTTTGCAAACTAGACCGATGTTGCAATTGAAACTATTGTTCGTTAATAATAATTACCAGTATTTTTTAAATTATCTGCTACTTTATCCCTTGCTTTTAGTGTAGTTTACAAAGGACATACACAATTGATGCATTCAATTTAGTGAAACATAAGACAACTAATTATCTACCTACTCATTGCAGCAATACTTTGCGAGTGCAAACTATGAGACAATGGCGAATGATGCAGGGAAGAGTTTCTACACATTAGAATGGACCAATCAGCATGGATGTGGTGGATCAGAGGATACAGATCCACATAAACTGAACTGTAATATCGTCATCCAATACATGTGCCAACCAGATGCAGATACAGCACAGGGTTAGTCATAATTATTTCAGTCTATTGGTCCTGGAATCAGTAACTCCCTCAGTGACAGTTTTCATCATCTTGACCTCCCATTTATGGTCATTTTGATTTGAAACAAGCTATGATAATGACATGGTATGAAAAGTGAAATGAAATGAGATGGAAAGTTAAAGAGAGAAACAAAATGGGGGATTTAAGTAATAATTAGGAAGTACTGTCATATATCCTAGTCTTCCAGACTGGTAGTTTATGGATGTTGCAGAAGATAAAGATACTATCAGCAATGGGGAGAACACAAGTACCTTATACAATGATAATATCAAAGCCATTCGACCGGCAGCTCATAGGAGGCTCAAGGAGTAGTTCTGATTCAGTCATCACCCATGGTAGAAGGTAATGATATTGAGAGAATAGATCGGTCATAATGTCCTACTCAAAAAGAATATTCAGAATATAATGATTGTAACATCTTATTATCCCAATATAGGAGATGATGATTCGATCAGGAATGGAGAGAATAGATCGGTCATAATGTCCTACTCAAAAAGAATATTCAGAATATAATGATTGTAACATCTTATTATCCCAATATAGGAGATGATGATACAATCAGGAATGGAGAGAACACCAATACTCAGAACCATCAGCCAAGGAACAATGAAAATGAGAATCAACAGCAAGCAGCAAACAGAAAGAACAACAATGTTCAAGCCAACCGCTTCCTACAGGAGCAATGGGAAGCGTATGATGGATGCTACATCAGAGAGAGAAATGCTGGTAAGGAATTAGGAAATTGGCTCTGGCAGAGCAGATTAATACAATGATAAGGAGAACAATAGTATATTACTCATGTCTGTCAATCTTGCCATCATGTTATTACCCCTGATTTAGTTAAATATCAACTACTTGTATTCAAACATTGCTTTTCATAGGTCAGCAAATTTTTATTTGTTATTTTTACTTTAATCGTGAGATATGGTTGAGGAAGGAAGGTGTTCTTTGTTAATCAGAAATTAGTCAGGAAGGAAAGTGATTAAATCCCAGATAACATTGTTGAAAAAAGGGAAGAGGAGTTGACTCATGATAAAAATGTCATAGATACCTGTGTGAACATGGCCCACTCATACCTCACTCTATTTTTAGATTAATTTGTCCATATACCAGTACAAAATTGGTGCCAGTACATACCTGTTTAATACCCATTTATCAGCGTCAATTACTGGTTTGAAATCAATACATATTTGAGTGCCTGGCTCCTAGAGAAATAGGTAATGAATGATAATGATGGGGAGAGAGTTAGGGACAATGATAATTACTGTATGATGATTACTAAAACAACAGCGGCGATGTTGATGATGATATGGTAGTGATGATAACAATGTTGATGATTATGACTCTGAGGATAATAAATAGAGCATGGAAGAAACAAGAAAGGAATAGTGGTATGCCTAATGATGGTGAAAATAAAAAGTTACTAAGAACTTGATTATTTGTTGCAGGTTTGTTTACTGCTGACCAGAAACTGAAGAATAACAATCAAGGATACAGCTCAGCTATCTTCACTCGTCAGAACCCCAATGGACAGAGGAGAGGATATGAGTGCCCAGAGGAGCGTGATTATTACCCTTACTGGCACCCTACCCAATGGAGAGATGCTGCCATCTTGGTGGGAGATGTAGCTCAATGCGAGTAAGTTCACTTGCCTTGTCTTATGTCGATAAAAGATCTATTCATTGGTTATCATTGATGATGGAAGGTCCTGGCTGTTCAGTTTTTTCTGTTATATGATATGGAGATGAAGTGCTTACCTGATTCATTTGGAGGATAATAATAAGGTGTCCTTCACTACCCTACTCTAGTCTTGCTGGACCAAGATGGAATTACCTTATTCATTCATTGTACACTGAAGTGAGAAATAATAGATCAATGAAATGTTTGTTATGTGTTTTTCCCCTCTAATATTTTGTATGTAGATGGAGTGTGTATTTCCCTCATCAATTTATATGATACAAAATAGAATTATTATCCTCTTCATCTTTGACAACCGTGGTATCCAATACATACCTTCTCAAATGTCCTGAAATATTATACGTGATAGCAGCCCTGTTGCGTCTTTCCTTGATTGATGTAGGAACTGACATTCATTTACCATTTAAACCAAGAAGTGAAGTATCTGACTCAGACTCTATTCATTGTCCATTGATATCTTAGATACTACCAGGCTGAGAGCTTCAATGTGAAGCAGGCCTATGAGTGTGTAGAATACTATGACAACAACAACAACCAGCGCAAACATGCATCACGTTACAACAATGAAGCTGATTGTACTGCTAATGATGGAGAGTGGCTAGCATTCACTAACTACTTAGAAAAGGCACCTAGTAAGTCAGTCATCTTTAATGTATGCTTTCACTGATAGTTTGTCTGCAAAACACTCTGTATTCATTAATAGCTTACACAGGTCATGTACAGAAATGGCAAATGGCAATGTGCCAAAGTTATTTATACCAATGCAAGATATTATAAATCATGTGAAGGCAAATAACATGATTATTCTGAATTGATGACTTCATTTATTTTATAGTATGCCTATTAGCTTTTGATAAATGATCATATTCTGCTTTGCTTGTATTTTCATTCTCATGGTTACCAGTATCTATAATTGAGCATGTTTTTTCTACCTTCTTCATGACAGCACTTGCTACTGAGCAAGCTTGTACACAAGCCACTGGTAATGGAGTGGAGTATGTCTGGGGTCGACCATGGAATGGAAACGATGAAGAATGTTTGGTTGCTTTGAAAGCACCTGATTGTCAGCAAGCTCCATGGACTAGAGTTAATCATAATGGAAACACTAGGGGCGGTGAAGCTAGCCGTTATACCATGACTCTTCCATTCTTCCCTTCACAAGATACAATGAGATGTGCTATGAGACTGAGGTAAGAATCAGGCGCACAGCCAGGGGGGGGGGGGCGGTTTGAGCGGGCCCCCCCCAAAAAAAAAAACGCCAGCCAAAAAGAAGAAAAAAAGAAGAAAAAAAGAAATAAAGTAAGGAAGAGGACGTAGGAAGAAAAAGGATTAAGAGTCAAGAACAGTACAACGAATCGTCTGCATGGACTATCAAACATTCATGTTATAGGCATGGGACTATCAAACATGACAGTTCAAAAGAATGAAAAATGATGGCAAAGAATTTTTGTTTTAAACTGACAGAATAAAGGAAAATGTAAAAACAAAGAAATTTAGTCAAAGCTTAACTCTTATTATTATATTTTTTTCTTGGGGGGTGGGGGCTCTTGCCAAGGGGGGGGGGGGGGTAACTTGACCCATGTTTGATACTAGATATGAATGCAGGATGTAATTAGCATGGAATTTTGATCATAGAGCAACTTATTAAGAGTATGCAGGTATCACATGTCATGCCTTTAATTGCTTTAATCTATCCTTCTCTTCATCGCATAATGACAGTATGAGTTGGATTAATAATTTTCATTCTACTTTGTTATCTTTTATAGATACAATATTTCTACTGATGATTATGATCCATGGAACACTACTTCTGCACAGAACCAAGACACGTAAGTAATGCTCTTTTGACAAAACAAAAACAAGAAGTCTCAGATACACTTTAGTTTGATTGGAATTAATCAATTCATGATATCCATGTGTCATATGATTTAATTTAAATAGTTTTAATGTGTTCAGGGCAGTTTGTGATTCCTGCCTAAATGTTCATATTCTTGTGATATTGTTTTGACTTAGAAGAAATTGTCTTTCTTCTGCAAATTCAAAATATCTTTATGAATTCCAAACTTAGATACCATAAAACTTTACTCTTATCATGATGAACATTGAAAGAAGGAACCACAATTTAAAACTTGTTTCTCAGAATCTGACTTGTCATGCATTTTTGTTTGTATATTAAATGTTGAATCATGACCTGAGTTTGAAGAGGATTTAAAGCCCAAGTCCACTTTAAAAATAAATTTCTTTCAATAGAACCAACAAAATCAGACAAACCAATCAAAAAAATTTTGAGCAAACTCAGATAACTAATAAGAAAGTTATGAATGTTTAATGACATGAAATACTTTGAAAATCACTACACAAATTGGCAACTCACTCATGAGTCTGTGACGTATGGTCCTCACTATCCACTAATTATTTTCTTTATATTGATGATATAAATTTCCTATTTTCACCCTAAGAATCTTATTTCTTCACACCAGCATCCAAGTTAGATTGTTAGTCATGTGTTTTTGTGTGGATGCACAAATAAAGAGTGATTTTTGTCCACTTAAATCATGAAAAATTGAATTTTGATAAACTATTTATATAAAAATCAATAATTATGAATAAACAATATTCAGAAAATAGTATCAATTCTTCAAAATTCATAAAAGTTTTTGGGAAATGTCATGCATGCAATATGATACAAGTCATATAACCTGGGCAAAGGCATGGGGAAATCAAGTTTTGTGGGATAAAAAGGGAAATTAATGTGATTAAATTATATAAAGCAATTGATAAGTTGTGAGGACATGACGTCACAAACTGATAACCATCTTGTCAATTTGTGTTGTGATTCTCATTGTTCCATAGTTTTACATACTTTTTCAAAAATTCATAACTTTCTTATTAGTTATCCGATTTAGCTCAAACCTTTTTTGATCGGTTTGTCTGATTTTTCTACTTTTATTGTAAGTAAGTTATTTTTCGAGTGGACTTGTCCTTTAATGTATGTCATGTAAGGAGAAATGAAGGAGTCATCAAAGGAAATATGTGATTTCATAATTGTCCCTGAAATGAGATTGATAAGTTTATTATATACCGGTATAGAAATTTACAATATTAATGCATGAATTATGAATGTTCATTTATCAGATTACTATTCAGATATAATGCCATATTTGATGTAAAAAAAGTTCCTATCCAGTCCAAAGTCATAATTTTTGTTCTCCTTGTTTGTAATCCCTGCAGTGCTAACAATGTCCAGTCTCCGGTGCAGCAGAACCCATATGTAGACATTGGAGCTGACCATACAGCTCTACGTCTAGCTATCAACACAGCACAGACAGGTAGAACCTTTCAGGATAGATCACATGCTATCAAGATCATGCCCCGTCCTCAGGCTGCAGGTAATGTCTCTCAGAGTCTGGCTTTACTTTCCAAGCTTAGTGGTAGAGCTGCATGGAAGGACCTTGATTAATAAATCAGATATATATGACAGAGTTTATTTGTCTCTATACTTAGAAATAATACATACATGTGTAGCTGTATGGTAGGAAATTACTACAAATCAAAAAATTATCTTTCTTCTTTTTATATGTGTAATAAATGATATTGAGTACTTGCGGTAAATTTCTTTGATATTAATTAGTTGATATAAATTTGAGAGTGAATTGTGCTTTTCCATTTCTTATCTCGTTATGAGTAATGCATTTTAATGAAAAACGTAATTATCATACTGGACGATTGTAATTTATTTACCATTAATTGAAAAAAAGTCACTCACAATGGAAAATTGTATAGATACTCTCGTTTAAACCTTTGGCTTTTGTGTTATATCTCATTCTGTATGACAGATAGACATCTAGGTATATATTGTATAAGATAGTTTTTCATTCCTTCTATTCTTTGTGAATAGTCTTAAATAATGTATTGTTGCCATATGTTCTCGTTGTAGAAGTACAAGCAGCCAAGATCTACAACTTGAATGTGAGAGGAAAGAGAGGCAATATTGTCCAGACATACCCTGCAGTAGAGTATGATTTCATGCCTAATAGACTGGAGATCACACCTGAAGATATGGTACACATCCAATGGACTGGTAAGTTATTACACAACCTAGCTAGCTTCAATCTATCATCCTAAGGAATGTACTGGAATCGATGTACAATTAATTAGGACACCGTTAAATTATATGACATTTTGGGGCAAACAGTAAAAGACAAGTGAATATCCTCCATTTTCTAGGCATCAAAGTAACATAAGGTGCTCATATATGGAGGAGTATATCGAGGCACATTTCTTTTTTTTGTGGAAATAGGTAGCGATTGTATGAAAAGACATAAAATAAATTGATAACATATCCTTATATTTTGTGGAGCCATGATCAGACTTTTCATATTTTGCAGCAATGAATTTGATAGGACTGTTGTGTTAACTATTCTGCATGTTGTTTATTGTTTAGGTTCTAATCGTCATAACAACAATGCCCCAGGCGGAGATGGGCAGACAGGAGATGCTGGTGAAGGCCAGGGAGGTAGGTATCATCTTCACCAATCAGCCTTTTCTTTTCCTCGGGTTGGACATGTCATTTCTATTATGATCACCTTTCAATATAAACATGTTGATATTGAAAGCTAATCATAAGAATATCAATAAATTTGTAATTTTTTGATATTCAATAGATGTCATTATGAAAAGCAGGAAGATCTTTCATCATGTACATTATTTTGTATGATCATTCCTGTTTTTATGCACATTTTATGTAAACATTGCATTATTGGTCCCTGGACTGCTGCATTGTACATTGTATATGTTGATATTAATAAAACCGAAATTGAATTGAATTGAATTCACTTTAGTGACTTTATTATAAGTAAACCTTTAATTGCAAAATCTATTATGTGTAGTTCATGAAAGGCAACTTATTGATTTTTTTGTTATTGATTCAGTGGTGAGCTTAGAAAGTACATAATTTAGTTAATCAAGATTTTATATGAATTGTCTTCTATGAGAAACAGTGAAACCTGTGTATAGAGACCAGACAAGGGAGACAAGAAAGTGGTCTTTATAGACAGGTGGTCTTCATGTACAGGTTTCTTTTAGTACAAGTTTCAAAGAGAAACCATATTCAAGGGAAACAAAAATGATGGTCTTTATAGACAGGGGGTCTTTCTATACAGGTGGTCACTATAGCAGGGTTGCCTATAGTAAGAATTAATTTAAAAAGTGTATTTGAAGGTTTATCTCTACAAATATATGCATTTGTAGAGTACAACTGCATGACCTCAAGACATCAGGTAATGATCAATATTTGAAGACTTAAGTTAATAAAGTCACTGTAGTGTTGTGTCCAGTATTGAAGTTCAAAATTGATGAGTGTGCAGGAGCGAATGCATGATTCATTTACAATGCTTTCTAATTTCAGTAATGGTTTACATGCATGTAATTTTGTATCTTTCTCAGGAACGGATCGCAGTAACTTTGTACAGATGAGCAACAGTTTGGAGAACTATCCCACTCCGTTCAATGATGCTAACAACATGTTTGCAGCCGCTAAAGTTCATTGGATCTACTTTGATGAAACTCCTGACATCACTCCTGAAGATCTAGCTATCAACATGGCTAGCTCTGGTTATTATCGGTAAGAATTATCTCCTCAAAATCTTGAACCCCAAAACCCCGTTGAGAAATGTCAGTGTAAACCACTTCCTAAAATTACCTTAGCAAAGTGCCTACTGGTAAAGATTTTTTTTGAGGTGGGGGGGGGGGGGGGGGTTATGACAAATAGCTGTGCTTCACAATTTTCACTATGCATGCAATCTGAAATGTATGTTAAAATATACAGAAATATTTTGCTGTACAGGTTTTTGAAGTGTTAACTGTATCATATCTGAAAGGGCCATCAAATTTAAAAGGCACATGATATCCTGTTAGTTGCATGTTATATATATTGAAAATTGTATGTATCATATACAGGTGCAGAAAAAGAATATATGTGGTGCTGACTTTATCTATTGATCATTGTATGTATCCTATACAGGTGTAAGAACCAGAATGTGTGTGGTGCTGACTCAGTCCAGCAGAAGAACGAGATGAACAATCTTCTGAACAATGCCCCACCCTCGTATGAAGGAGCTCTCATTCAAGTCCCTGCTGGAGAACACAAGTACATGAGCACCCGTAATAACAACTTCAGCAATCGCTCTCAGAAGGGTATGCTCAAGGTAGCTACCCCTACAGCCTAGTGCATAGACTGACTCAATCTCACTTCAGTTTGAAAAGGGTTGATGTCTTATTGAGCTGTGCTTATTAAGTATATTTAGTCATGTATACAGCTCTAGGGTTTTATTACATGGGTGTAGGTTGCCTCTGATTTAAGGAAGTTCATCTTGTGGGTAAATACTATGTCACTTCATAGAAGACTATCAAGTACATAAAAACACATTATGAGGAGAGAGCTATTTAGTTCGAAAAACCTCAACAAGACCCATGAAAAATAAAAGAATATAGAATTTCCTCTTAGATTTCACAAGTAAGATTTAGAAAGAGCTCATTTGAACAAAATATCCAATTCAGGATCAATAGTTCATACAACGTCATGTGTACAAATTTATGAATGCTATAAATATGTCTTTCATTGATATATCCAGTACTATCTTTCATTCTGGTAATCTGTTATACATTGCATTATCAAAAGTATTTGAATTAGCAAGATGTCTTTCTGACTTTTTCTGTAACTGATTGATGTTTTTTTAAGAATACCTTTGTAATCAAAGTCGATTTAGGAATATATATTTCATGATATTTTCTTATATCTTGCATGTAATATTTGAGGAAAGTTCTAAATATGAATCGTGAGATATTACCTACTATCATGACTAAGGCTACTTGATTGAAGGAGTGTGTGATTTATGGAGTTAAGATTGTAAGATTCATGTTATTTGTATGAGCTCTTCAAATGAATACCTAGATTCCTAACATTTCTTTATCTGTTAAGGTTGTACATACATGTATATTATTAAATCATAGTTTTATATAATATGATAAGACTTTAAAGCCATGCTATTGTCTTTTTTTGCTCTTTGTCATTTTTCTTGAATCTGCATACCTCCCAACGTTAACATGTGTGTGATTTAATAAGGAGATAGTGTATCTCTGCGATGTATGGTGTAAGAGATGGCAATTTGCATATAATGGGCTTTAATAACGAATTCATGTGAATTATATATTTTATACAAACATGATGCACATTAGTTATGTATTTATTGGAAGTGCACTTATTACATACAACTGTTGTTGTGTATTTCATCAACCTACTCAACATTTTGCCTGTCATTATCATGCAATTATATTCTTAAGGTTTTCTTTCAAGAGTTCAAGAGCTTTGAAGCTGTTATAATCAGAAAAATGTTGTCTTGATTGTCCTAACATTTTTTTCTTGAATTTCTTTATATTTTGTCATTATGTGTGTCATTTTGGCGATTATTATAACAGATTCATATAGAAATACAAGCGTACTCCTGATAATGGATTGTTTTCATAGATGATTGATTCCTGCCATCTGTTGTAATGATCTCAAGAAAACCAATCTCAGATTAAAAAGTAATTTGGTAATTATTCTCTAGCTGTGATTCCCAAGGGATGATTCTTTGTTCTATGACATACAGGTTGATTAATGATATACACAAGTCTGCTGGCCCAGACACAAGATTTATCTAGCCTAGAAATGGTGGTTAATAAATACATTTCAGCATTGCACAAGTTGGTGAATGTCTCATTTTTTGTTGTTAATGAATTATATTTCCCTATGTAATCAGTGGTTATTTGCCATGTTCTCTTTGTACCCCTGTGTCTGATTCATCTTATTTCACTCACTCTGTCATTATCAATCTCATCTTTACACTCATTATTAATGTTTTCTTTCTCTATTTCATCATTTACTTCTCTCATTATCCATTTCTTTCTAAATCTTTCCTTCTGTTACTAATCTCCCCCTTTCACTCAAAATATCTTTTTTCTCTCCCTCAAAATCAATTTCATTAATAATTTTGTTATTCATTTCTTCTCTCGTGGCATGTGTATGCTTGTAAAATGGCGACTGGCCAGAATGCCCCCAGGGAGTGGAACGTGTACTATTATGTGTGGATAAGCAGTTACATCCAATTACTGGGGTTATAATAATCACATGTACAAGTGTAAAGCGCTTAGAAAAGTTATATTAAACACTATAAAAATGTTAGATGTTGCTTGTAAGTGTCGGCTTGCATGGTGATGTAGATATACAGTAGGTTTGCGGGTGCACCATGTGAGAGAGAGAGAGAGAGAGAGGTTTGAGGAGTCCTGAAAAGGACTGTTTGTTATCTTTCTTACAATCCCCTAAGAAATATGACCGAGTCAGAGTCCTTTTCAGGACTCCTCAAACCTCTCTCTCTCTCTCTCACACATGGTGCACCCGCAAACCTACTGTATATAAAAATGTTACTATTATCATTATCTTTCCCTCTATTACCTTCAATATAATTCTCTTTTTCCATCCCTCCCTTAATATTGATATTAGTCAACAAATTCACATATCTCATAATGGTAAGTCAAGCATAGTATTTCCTATATTCATTTATTTACTGCAACTATACGTTTTAAAGACAAACCACATTAAACAATCAATTCAACGTTAATTTAGCTCAATTTAACATTTAATCAAAATCAATCTCTAATATCTTGTCTCAGAGATTTAGGATATAACAAACTGGAATATGCCTTTATTTCATTAGTGAATGTAAAAGAGGAGTTTAATTCATTCATTGTCAGCTCAGCCAGAAACACCTGGGATGCCCTAAATTAATGCAATATTTCAATTATAATTATAAATTTATAATAAACTCCAATCTTCATTTCTATATGAACACACATAAATTGTGCTTTGTATGTACAATTTTGCGCACTTCAGAAAATTCAGCATTCAACCCTTAAGATCAAAATATGTTGGATAATGCAATATTAATTGTTTCAAAATAAATGAAATTATTTGATGAAATTCACATGTAATCTGCACCATATGCAATGATCAAATAACAATCAATATCACAAGTTAACATACTATAATGACACAAAATTCTATCTATGTTCTCAATGAAATATATTAAATTGCAAATTTAAAAACAGGAGAGTTTGTTGAAAAAATTATTTCTGTATTTAATGTTTTTACGAGGGCCCTGTCCTATGAAGCCTTGTGATTGATTTCAACTTTGTCATAATTCATTGACTTTATATTACAATGCTGAAAGTGCTTCATTTAAGATGTTCATGCGTGGGTATATCTAGTCGTTCATGAAGTACATGTAGGCAACTTGCTGATCACTACACAACACCGAGCCAACGGGTATTACGCTCCTGCGCGTACGTCTGTGTGCTGCCCTCTATATACCCACACATGATCAACTTTAAAGTAAATAATTATAACAAGACAATCCTGATGCAACATTGTCAAGTAAACATGGCAAAAAACTTAGCAAATGTACAAGACAAAAACAAAAACTTTTGCAAGACAATATAAAGTTCCCTGAAATACAAATATTCATGTTTCACACACAACATTGCAATTATAAAATAATACTTATAAAGGCAAGTAGGCAAATGACATACAAGTGTGCTTTAAATATATATATATACCCGGTATGTATCTACACAGAAGGGTAAAACTGTAATACATACATGTAAAACCTGTCTTCACTAAATGCCTTACAATTGATTCTGATGGTGCTTTATTTAGGCAGGTATTTACCACCTTACATTGGTGGGAAACATGAAAACAACATACTGTATACAAATGTGAAACTGACAAACCAGGTAAATATGTGAGTTATAGGAAGTCAATATTCTGCAAAGTTAGAATGTCCTGTAGCCATAGCATGCTGTTGAGCTTGTCTTTGTCCACGGAGACCATCATTACAAACAAGACAGCGTAGAGTGAAACCAGAGAGATCTGTATACTGTCTGCTCTTCTGGGCCTCTGTTGCAAGATGTAAGACTTGTGATTGTACTTCCTCATCATCCACTCTAAACACTGTCTCCATACCATCTCCACCAAGCTCCTTGATCAAAGGATCATAGTGAACATTGTCATAGATCAAGTAAATCCGATGATTGTAACCATTATTCTCACCAAATTTGTCAATACGCACACTTTGAGTGTCGACAACTGCAATTTCAGTTTCATAAAACTCACTAAGGATTGAAATTTCTATTGCCCCACCCCAAGAGTCCGGATTCTTTATCCACTGGCAGTACTCTAAGTTGGATTTAGCAAGAAAGACTTCATTGTACAGCTCTGGATTACTGCTTACGACATTGACGATGAGATTACGAAGTTCTTGTGCACGTGAACTGTCAGTATTGCCACCTTCCATGAGCAATGCTATGCTCATAAACAGGCAAGAGTTATCTGATGGTACTACACGACGTGTCACCGTGGCCTTTGCCTCACCACTACCTTGACTTATATCAGTTTTATTACTTGTCTCATCCTCTTCTACTATGACCATATCTCCTGATTTAAAAGGAAGAGAGGCTAGTTCTTGACCTTCATTGGATAGATCTAATGGTTTAGGAGGGTACCCATGGAGTAGTTTCTGTGATTTGCTTGGAATCTCAGTGAATTCTGATATTTTTTGGAGTAGATGACTGATGGTAGATTTCATGGTGAGACCTTCTAACTTCTTGCGTCCATTCTTAGCTTTGATCATGACCAGAAATGGTGTAGAAGACATGGTTGCATCAACTGAGGTTTAACTGCAAAGCAAAGACCAAAATGGGAAATAATGTCAAGTAAATCACATCATGATGGTAGTAGAGTATGATGATGGTTTAGTTATTTTTGTCATCATGCCAGGTTTTAGTCAATTGACATCATTCTCGATGACAAATACCAGTACATAGCCTAGCCTATACAATACATGTATGTAAACTCCCCACTAAATCACACAATCCCTCTTGTAGCCAATTCTAAGGTTCCAACTAATATAGCTTTGCAGAGGCACAAGCTTATTTCAAACAGCGCTTGAGCTCGCACTTTTAGTTGCAGATGTTTTGTTTGGGTAAACTGACAGCCCTACAATACACACATCCTGATATGCGGGACTGTAGTGAGGTTAATTCAAATTAGCTTCGGGCGAGTGTTTGCCAGCTCTTTATTCCTCTAAATAAACAGAATACAGCAAATTAAACATGATTTGGATTTTATAATAACACGTAACATTAAGATTAAAATAATAAATGATCCCAGCAAAGAAACATAGATCTATTCTACATGTATTGTAAACTCACAAATTTCAACCTTCTTCCTGGCTTCTTTGTTTATAATAATTGGAGCTTTACAAGAATGACGTCACGCAGGTTAAGTCTCTCGACGCGATCTCACCTCGTAAGCGTACCGCCGCATTTGCGACCCAGAAAAAACGAAACCGGGAATTATCGATGTTTTGGTTCAGTTATCATAACTTAATATAATAATAACAATAATAATAATATGTCTTGTTTACCCAGCGTAGCCTCATAAGTATTCATACTGTTCTCCTTGAGGGCCCTGCGATCATAATCACAAATATAATTAATAAATGACAATTTTGTAAAGCTTAGATCCTCCTCTTTCATTTTATGCAACCAATAATGATGTAGAAAATGTGTAGAAAAACATGGAGTTAATATTTCATAACTTTAGTGTAATGATTAAAATATCATTGTCTAATGGTATTGAGAGAATATGTTGGGAGTATATTATCTTTTATTCCAATCCCCAAAAGAACCACATGAGACCAGATTAATTTGTTAATTAGATTAAGATCTTGACTTTTATCTTGCAGTCTGACAGTAGGATGTTGGGAGAGAATTAAGGTACCCTCTCATTTCATGAGAGCATTAATATATTATTATCATTATTAACCTTAAATAAACTTTTATGCTTGCCCGATGACATATAGGCTCTATTTTCGATCTTTGTCTTCTATACGTTTGTGGCAGGATAAAAATAAGGGGACGAGCGCGGTACAAATTAATTATTACAATAACGGAGGACCAGAAACATAGAAATCAATGAAACTTAGTCATAAACAATGAAAGATTTAAGGCATAACTCAACCAGCCTCTGACATACATTCATGTGATTACAACAAAAATCTTCTGATGCCAAATGTTTACATAATTTCGAGTATAGCTAGGTTACCTTGCAGTAACAATTACCTTGCAGTAACAATTACCTTGCAGTAACAATAATTATCATGGTGCTTAGGCTAATGATGATGATGATGATTAGCGTGTCGCCATATTTCTGTACAAATCTTTCGAAGTCGATCCCAGGCCCGTCCAATTAAGGCAGTATTCACAGTCATCTGACGAAATAGGATAGGTTGAAAAAGACAGGACATATTAGTGTTCCCGTTTATAACAAAAGAAAGAAACGAATTAAGCAAGTTCAAGAAGATTGGGGAGTGTTTTATCTTTTTGTAGTGAGCTCTAGTTCATGGAACGATTTACGTAGTCATTTCTATGAGACGAAAGCTCACCACACAAAATAATGTAACATTGTTTTTTGGAGGAGAGCTCGCCTTTAGGGTTAAACTGAAAAGGTATTGAAATTTATCTTCTTATCTTTCCAATTTTCTCAGATGCAGGGGAAAATTATTTTCTCATCAGTGCTAAATTTTTTCTCCCAATTCGTCTTCTTTGAAACCGCGTTTAATTCCATCCATGGTTATATATTATGATCTCCGTTCTCTTCCAATGAAATATATAATTAACCACAATTAAAAATTGTTTACCAATTGCTCCATCAACATGTCCCATCGATATACTACATTTCCTTCTAATTTCCATGAAATTATGCCCTTGGAGGCTAAGTTAAATGGCATTTAGCGTTCCGTCTCCTGGTTGAGAAATCATTGAAATAAAACACACCATCAATCATCTCATAGCTTAGTTGGCCAAATCATTAACATAGCAATAATGCCTCTGATTACACGGAATGGATTAAAGTATTCATTGATATGCAAATGGAATTTGTCTTTTGTATTGACAATGCCGTATTACTCTTGATGAAGTAAAAAGTTTTCACTTTTCTTAAGAGGCGCCATGTTTCCCCTTCTTTTTTCAACCATTATCCAAATGTTTTAAAGTAAAAGTTTTTACTTCCCCTATTCAATATCATTATTACTATCCGTTGATTGCCAAGGTGGTCTTATCATTACGAAGAAAATAAGGCAATATTGGACATTAGAAAAAAATGTTTCTTTTTTTTTCCTTATCATTTTTTCCTTCTTTTTAAGACATGTTCTGGTATACGTTTCTGCATCTTACTAACTGAGCATGACGTAGGCCTAACCCTTTTTCCATATGCGAAAGTCATTTATCATAATCAAGATTCAATTCAGAACACTATATGCCTACTGTCAAGAGAATAACTGTCAAGACTCAAGAGAATAAACAACATCTTGTCACCTGCTCCCCTACAAAGCTTACGTCCACAACCTCAAAAGATCAAACTTGGTGAGTTTTCTTTTACATTACCAAGATGGCATCCCCTCCGACAGGTTTTTAGTAGCACTTACAAGCATTTCTGTCTGAATAGGAATCGTGTTACACTTCTTTTCAGTATTTCCTAGAACGGCCTGTCAATTACAGAAAGATCACCTCCTTCCTCTCCCATGCAGCTCTACACTGTTTACAATCCAATTTACGATTTCACGTGTTCATTATTATGTCTTTATTCTTGTTGAGCCTTCAAGTTATCAAAGCTCTATCTCCCCCTGCTCCTTTTTATCCTTGAATATTTCTATTTCATTTACTCGGTACATATCAATTTCATGAGCTTCATCAGATCACATCAGAAGAAATTCATCTCACTATAGTTTACGGACATTCATTCTCATTAGATCACTGTATAAAGATATTCTATCAATTCTATAGTCGACCCAAAATAGAAAAATTCAATTTGCGGATCGCTCCAGTTTGTCTCCCAAAACGACACACTTGTGAGCGATTATCCATGAGTATGCAAGTACGCCATGAATATTGCTTTATGACGGTTCATTTTTCGGTTTAAATTTCCAGTTCTACAAATCTGAGATGCATGGCCCTATGTGTTATCAGCCTTGTCTGTGATATGGTGTAATGTTGAAGCCCATACTTTTTTTTGTTTAATTCAAGTCGTTGTTAAGATTATTTTTAAGATATAAATATGTTAGCAAAGAAAACAATACTAAGCTGGAAGAATTATTGAATATACTTTAATTTTTAGCCTATGTTATGTTTCACTCAATTATTGGGTTGTTAATGTAAATATGTATTGAAATTATGGAAATAAAAACCTCGCTTGAGGATAAGAGAAAACAAAATATTGAAGCCCTAACAAAATTGCGCTTCAAAATGATCATGAATTGCTTTAAAAAAGTAAACATTTTGATTGACCGGTTTTACCATACTCACTTTCTCCAATAGACTTTAGTGTTACAATAACCGTTTTTGAAATTTAGAATTCCAATCATGAATATCTTGAAAATCAAACGTGTCAAAGATACCCAATCCCTTTAATGTTAGATAAAGTTAACAGTTATTCTATAAATTGAGATACAAAAATCTTCAACATTTCTCTTCTAAATTCCAATCTCTTCTCCCTGACAGCGTATTCATGATATACCCAGGGAAATGACCGATGGCCAAGCATAATCACTCGAAATAAGGGAGGGAGGTAGTCTCTCTCTCTCTTTCTCACTCAATGCTTGCCATAGTAAACGAGACAATGTTTCTGGTTCTGGAAACTACATGTGCATAATTCATCAGACAGGGAAAAAGTTCCACTGGTGCTTACGTTGTTGTGGTGCCTGACGACTCTTCATGGCTCTACAATCCAGCATCATCCTCATTTCCGCTGCTTTCCTGTTGATTAAAGCCACTATAGTTATCATACCTTTGCTCTGACTAAATATCAATTAAAATCAAGATAACCGATACAAACAGCTGGAGGTTGCATGGGAGATGTTCAATTGCCTAACCTTAATCCAACGGAACTCACACAGAAAACATAGAAATGCAAATTGACGAGGCAAAGTTGTTCTTTACCATAGTAAACATAATTTATGTCCCTTTGGAATGTTTTGACTTTGATTTTTTTTCTTCTCAAACTCATGTATTTTGCTTTTGTTTTACAAGAGTGTTATTAAGAAAAGACTGAGCACATTCAAACCACTTTTATTTTTCAAAGTAATAAGTAGAGTATGCATAAAGTAGAAGTACGTAATATGAGACTAGACCTTTAAACAGGTGGTCACCTGCCATTGTACTGTAAAACCCATATTTGAATATATTTTGAAACAGGTCTTTTCGTATCGACGATGATTTTGCTTTTATGATCGTATTAACTATGCCTGTCTAATAGCTCATGATAGAGTCACTTGTATATGGCTACGATGCTGTTATTCTTGTAGAATGAATTGGGAAGGACGCGAAAAAAGGATGCGCTCTCTTCAAGATATTTATATCTTCTTTCTAGGCCTATAAATTGTTAATTTCATTCTTGAACAGTCATTATTCAGCTTGCCATATTTCCGATGGCATCCCATACCGTTTTTCTTGCGTTTGATCTCATCTTCTTTGTTTTTTGGAAACGATTCAATTTTCATTATTCAATCCACATCTCTGTGATATAGGTATGCCTTGTTTTGTAAAAGTATTGTCATGGTTTCATTGCGCGCCGGCCGGCCATGCATGCCAATTGACTCCATCATTATTACCCCCCAAGGGTGAGTTAGCTAGCTCGCTTTCTTCAACAATCATCCAAAAGAAGGATCTTTTTACTGATTCTAGAATTGGTTGACATGGAATATATCAAATATCATATTATTTTTTTTCTAAATTATAAATCGTAGGCAGCAAGTAAGAAAAGTAAAGGTTCACATACACACGTTTACTTACATATTCCTACTTTAGCTTAGGGTTTACACATCAGAGAAAGGGCAATTATCTTAGAAAATTAAGCTTTAGAAATAGCTAACAAGAGAAGGAGCCCGATGCAATTAGGAATAAAAAGTAACAATGATATGAAATTATCTATTTATAACTTTTAAACCTATAACTATGATTTGTCAGCCACAGGAAGTATTCCTGATCTTGCACCAAATATTCGCCAAACCTTTAAAGGGTCAACATTGTGTTATCAACAAAAAAAACACGACCAAATAGTTGGCAAAATCATTTCACCGTTTCGTTTTTTCCATTGTCTGTTTAGATCACTTTAAATAAACGACATTCACCTTCATGTCATTCTGTTTAAAGTTATGAGCCACAGAGCTTTAATTATACAACGTCGCCATCAGATTCTCATCGATTACACCCACGTTTACATAATTAGCAATTTGTTAAACAG